ATCCAGAGCAGAGCTTGAGCTCAGAGTAGTGAAATTCTGACAAAAACTCCTGTGGATGCGTCACGATGACTCACCGCATCCGAAAACAGAAGATCCGACGACCTGACAGACACCACGTCACCGGCTTTCGTTTGCGCGATAAGAAATCCACGTGGTTGAACGAATTCTCTCTCATTCGGATGAGGAATATACATAGACACACCGAGTATTCATCGCGGAATCGAGACTCTCCGACCCGGACAGTGAGTGGATGAGTCTTATAATTTGACCTTAACTCGCGCATTTATTCCCAACCGAGACTATTGAATAATATCGTGGAGGTAAATTCTGTGATGCATGGAAACGATAAGAGGCGCGAGGCTATCATTCCACAGTTACGGGGAACAACACTTGAAAGGAGAAAGAAAGGATCGCCGCCGATCCTTAGTGGTAAAAATAGGGCACGACCGAAGTTGTTGAGTAAATTGTGTTCATTTGTCAAATAAGGCACTATTTCTGGAGATCAAGGAGAAAAGCGGTCATCTTAAGCGCTACGGTAACCTGAAAGTGCTCAGTGGAAGAGACGAGTATCGAGTCAAGTGATCAGCGGGAAACTCCGTGTATCCCTCTGCTAGCACCAAGACCGGGTCAACATACCATCCCCAGAAAACTCTGCTTTTGTACCAATGCTAGCAAAAGCAATGAATGGAGAGATATAGCGGGAGAGGCACAGCTGAGAACGTGGCCGGAGCGAAACGCAGGATACCGGCTTTCGCAAGGAGGATGAATTTTACGTTCACAGCGGTGCTCACCGCTCATGTCAGAGCAGAGAAGTTTCCACTGAGCGCGCTTCCGTATCTTCCAGTCGACGATAATAATCATCATCTCTGGAACAATTATAAGAACTACGTTTCGCGAACGACCCGATCAAGATCCGGTGGAATATTAGCCGTAGCACGTCTCAGCCCGAATAATGATCTCGGAGCAGGGGAAAATGAGACCGAGCAAACTTTTAGGAGCCGTTGATCGTTGTTCGACCGCATTCCGCGAATCCAGTCTTCAGCTGTGGTCGAGTCAGTAGCTGTGTCTTCTTCTCGTCTCCCGTTTTCCTTATTCTATGTCAAAGAGGGGGGAAGACCAGAAGAAATTACTCTCCCATCAATGAGCATCTAGCCCTTCCATGACGTCACGCAGCGGTGTCCATGTCGCGGTTCAGAACCATATCAGCAGCAGCGGCGAGAATAGTAACCCGCGCGAATCCTGGAAAGATCAAGGTCACACCAACCACCTGGGGTTTCCTTCGAGGGACAAGATGAGTTGTGGCCGTGACTTTGTGGGTCCCGAAAGTGACCTTCGCTGTGAATCGGACCCTCAGAGGAGGCCGTCGGAGGTGATAGAAGGAACCCGATGTTGACATTATTGATACACCAGGGCGGAGAATTGCAGAACTCGAGAAACGCTTGCGAAAGCGTCAAACGGAGCTTACGGCCAGATCCGATTGTCGCTTAGCGGCTCCGCCATAGGATAGCAAGTCGTTTCTCGTCGGTGTAGGGGGCAATTTATCGCCGTGTGAAGACTGACGCTCCGAGCGAGCGTCAAAAGCCCGTCGGGGCTTTTCATTTCGGTTCACCCCATGCTCGTTGGGTTCCTTTGAATAATACTACATAGCCAAGCGACGGTGCGAGACAATCGTAACTTTACACATCACTGATTCATTGATTGCACCAGACGTTGAGCCGCACCCGGCACCTCGAACCCCCGTTACGACACGAGATCCCTCGACTGAGCGTTGAATAAAGTCACCGACAAACGGATGCGTGTCGAGACGGCAGCGATTGTCAACGTTCAAAAATTCACCATTTCCACTCCCGTAAACTTATCTGTCCAGCGTTCTCAAAACGGAACTTATCACTTAGTTAGACCAAGCGACAACGTTTCTCAATTCTGTTTCGGAACCGCATGCGATCATTCATCGCCCCATGTTCTCCGAATCACCCACGAGCGAGCCGGTGACGCTCCCGTGGAGCGGGATCATCCAAAATAGAAAAGCTCCAAGGGAGCTTCGTACTGGTATTCGGCCGCAGAATCGATATGCGGAAAGACCGCACGGTATCTTCTGGCTTCGGGCCACGGAGTTCCCGTAGGAAACGCTGGTGCTTTTCGACCTTCACCCGACCCGCCGCTTCCTTCACGATCAATTGTTGGGTCATCGGGGCCGGATACGGCGTCATGAAGCTCGTGGGCTCCGGCCGGTAATGTCACGCCGGCGCTTTCAAGTTCAGAGCACGCAGTCAAGCCGAATGGAGAGAAATCGCCTCGCCGCAGAAGCCGTTCGGCACTTTTCAAATATTAGATTTTCGACTCTCGACTCGAGATTCCCCGAACGGCAGCAAGCTAACGGGTAGGACGCGCTTGAAGCTGATAGAGGAATCCCAACGATGGCGCTTCGGCTTCAGGGGAGCCCCATTTCAGCCTGGAGCGCTCACGAGCGCTTCCGCTGACGAAGATTTCGGAACGTTCAAGTACGCTTTCTGTAGTCATCGGAGTTCGTGGGGAGCGACAAAAGGAACGGTTTCTGCAGTCTTCGAATTTCTATGAATTACTACCACTTCGAAGTTTCTGGACCGCTGTAACTGGGTCAACGGCACCGCGGTGTGGGCGCTTATTTCTGTTTTCGGAGCACTCATGTGTTTTCCGAATTCAGTCTTGTTGAATCTCCCGGCGGCCGACTATTATTATTCAAGCGGAGCTCGCTTGTGTACTAGTGATTGTCTTTCCCATGGGGAAATCTATATGAAGTAATTAGAACTCCGGTTCTGTCGACCGAAGACACCTGCTTCGAGGGCGACTCTTCGAACAGCGCAAGTGCTCTTCGTCGTCGGTCCCCATCAAGAGCGATTGGCCACTCGGTCGGCCGCTCCGGCGGTCGAAACGTCTGTCTGTCCGTCTTTGAGTCGTTACATCCGCTCGTCCGCCTATCAGCAAACTTTCCGTAGTCAGCCGAAGTAGACAGATTCTAACGCCCAGAAAGGAATCGACCCAAAATCTGCAGCATGCTATTCCGCTTCTTCCTCCCGAACGCCATCCGAAGCGCATGCTCGCCGATCATATATATGTACGTTTGAGGATGAGTAAATCCTTGACGACTACATGGGCTCCCCGAGACGCCATTGTCGTTTTGTGTTACAACACCTAGATCACCATCATCATAAGTCGGTGAATTTCGACTGACTTTGGAAGTTCGTTTTCCTCGAAAACCCTTGTCGTCAATGGGCGGATCGTCATAGGTTGAAGGAAATTCCATAACAGGATGAGGCTTTCCCAGTTGCATCTATTGTCTCATCCGTTCATAATCTGTCTCATAATGTCATCTGTTTTCTCACGGTCGAGAATGGTCATCAGCTCGAATACAACGCAGCGATATGTCATTCTTGACACGGAACTTCTGTCAAAAGCTTCCCCTTCCGAAAAGTGTCCCATTCCGCGCCTCGGGCTGAGCTTCTATGGGGAGCGACTTGTCCGAGGAATCCCCTTATACCCAGCAGTCATCACCGCAAAACTGTACTTCATTTGTCTAACTAAGTATCGTTTTCGATGTTCAAATGCAGGCAGGCCGGCGCGGAATTCGTCCGAAGTTGATGATTGCATGAGAACTCACAACTCTGAGCTACGGAATGGAGGAAAGGAATTCATCGGAGAGCTCCTAACAGGGACAAACATCCGGCAGTGCCACATGATGATGCTATGACTAGTCCCTTGACGTGCTACCAGAAGTTGAGAGCGAAGTGCAGAGCACTTGAAGCCGTACATAAGTGGGACAACGATGACGTGGTCGAGTCCAGTGAACAAGAGCCACGTCAGGTTGGACGAATCTTAGGTGGCTGGAAGGCGTTCTCGCTCTCGCTCGACGATCGCTCAGTCAGACATCCAACCATTCGATCAGAGTGACACACGCTCGGTCGCGTTGGACTTTCGGGACGCCTATTCGTCTTCCCGAGTGAAGAGTGATTTCTTACAGGGAGATATTCTAATGCTACGCCGCTGGGGAGTCTTTACTTGGAGCAGTCGGCAATGCCGAGAATGTGGAAGAACGCGAAAGGTGCCCCCGCCGACGGGAAGTTCACGCAATATTGTTCTCAGCGAATGGATGGAACAGGGATCGAGTCGACAGGGTCCCTCGGATTATCGGGTCAATACCATGCTACACGCGACGCCATGGAAAATGCTAACGATTAAGTACAGCAACAATGGTTACAGCAAGCGAAGCTATCGGGAGGGCACAATCGCGCTCTGCTCGGTATTAGAAAAAGTCGTTTGAGGGAGAACCACGGGCTTGTTGAGACGCGAACAGTGTCAGCGCAAGACATACATCGTAAAATGCCTGACAGCTGAGAGAAAAAGAGACAGCGAACGGAACGGGGAGAACCGAGCCGGTGTTACCTTCGAGATGGGTAAGATTGATTAGTGAGAAATGTCTGAGAAAATTGATGAGTCATCGTTTATTCGTGTGTGACAGCAGATCACACCTTGCGAGAATCGTAGAAAAACTTTGCGAAATATACACACAATCATACTGAACCCGCCGAAAGAAGACTAGGCGTCGGCGAAACTCTGGGACGATTTTGCATAATATCCGTTTTAAGAAATTCCGTTCGCTTCCTTCCTCCAAACTCCTCCGGAGCTCATTCATCACCATGAAACACAGATCAACGAATGATTTCCCGGATGCTGCAGCTATGACAAAACACTTTGATCCATGATTCAAATACCTAAGTTATTCGAGTAGGTAATTCGTGAAGCTTCCCTCGTGAAAAATTCGCGGGATTCACCGGAGATCATTCTCTCCCAACTCAAGCTTATCTCGGAATTTCCGGGGGCACGACCGGAAATCCAGCTCTCTCCGAGAGCTCGATGTCTTACAGGGAGATATTCCATGAGAGCTCCGACGGTTTCCTTATCAGTATTGCTCGGAGAGCATCTCCATGAACAATCTCACGACAATGAGCTCAAGTGGGATAATCCTAGCTCAGAGAAAAGTCTCGATCAGCTGCAATATCGAGCTTCCGCTTTCTCGAATACACCATGAACATCGTTCCCACCCCCGCAAACGTGAGCAAACACATCCACGCCAGAAAATACGAAATGCCTGAGGACCACGAGGCGTGCATTGGATGTCGCATGTGGAAATGCTCCCGTTCATAATGAGCGGTGTTGGACGCGATCTCAATCATGACCAACATAACTCCAGCTGCGAGGAGAAAAAAAAAGTCAATCAACATACAGCAGTCGTGATAGATTTTTAGATTGGGGCTGAGGATCCACCCAACCCGCCCAGAGGAAATCGACCTCATAGGCTCGATGATAATCCGATCGGCATCCGGACTGTACCTACCCCTGCGAGAGCGCTCCACTCCGAAGTAGATCAGGCAAGGAAAATCGAACTAACCTGTGATGAAGTGCACTCCGCCAGCTAATCTCTTGAACATGTATCGAGGTTGGGTGAAAGTGTACATTGAAAATGCGATCGCCATGAGTATGAGAAGTATACTGACGCAGCAAAATCCGATTTGGGAGCGAGTGTACTCTGAGGAACGAGAATCGGAATTGATACGGTCGAAGAACTGCATTAGCAACATCTCGAGAGAAGGGATGGGAGCCTGAGGGCGGAATCTCCCGGTGTCGATCTTTCCGGCATCACACTCTCCTCGGGATGCTTCGGTGGTCAAACTCACCTAGAATAGTCCGATCCAACATCGAGTCGGTGGTGTAGTCTACCTTGTTTGGACTCACGTAGAAATATCGGCATTCTTCTGCAATCGTCAGACTCATTTCAATATAATTCGAACCCCGAATTTCGAGCTGAGCCAGGTTTCTTGCGATCGAGTAAGCTCATACCTTTTACGCCCTCTTCCGAAGGTTTCCCATCGATCCAAGCATGCCGCAACACCGACCGACACATCCGGAACAAGCCCATATGACCATGAAAATATGTCACCTTCGTGTGATTCATGTAGATGCCGTCGGGACCGCCATCGATTGTCACCCAATATGAGGATCCTGCAGCGGAGATCGATACGAATTAGTTTAGAAGCTGTGAACCTGCAAGTCTTTCGCACAAGGTGAGCGATCTCTGATGGCTAGAGACCCATCGCGAGGACCTGGAAGGATGGCGGGAGGAGCTCAGAAGACCGGAGTCGGGGTGAAGCACAGCCATCGACTCTGGTCCGCCCTATCATGCAGGGCGCTGTGATTCATCTATTGCTCTGGCCAGCCTCGGAAGAATCTTTGAGAGCGAAAATAGAAATCGAAGTCTTATGTTCGATCAGTCGCCAAAGACAATAAGATCTGTGAACTTTTATTGACGACAGTAGCAGGGAAGATCGCGCGGTAGCCAGAGTTCATCTCTCTGAGTTCAAGAATCACGCGAGCGACGAACGCTTCACGTGTAGGAACATCAGAGAAGCCGCTGGTACCCGACCGCCTCCGCGCTTAATGCAGCAACGTAAGTGGGCAACGCGACAAGCTGTTGAAACAGGACGATAACCTCCAGCGGGAACTATTCGTCGTTAAGGTTTTTCTCTATTGGGAGTCCTCGGAGGGATGGAATATTTGCTGATGCCGAATTTCTGTTGCGGGCAAGAAACTTTGACAACGGACTACAACAGAAAAACACACGGATAAGAATGTCTAATGCTTCAACTCGATATTTTTACGCGTCGGGCTGACCCGCTAAATGTAGCGCCTTCCTCGGACAGCTCTTCCGAGGGATGTCCCTAATGACAAAGCGGAGTCATTTGCTATCGGTGAGAATCGAAAAACGGAGATACTTTACAGACTATCTCGCAGCAGCGCGTCCCGTTGAATCTTTCACCGCCCCGATGTGGAACAGTACGTCATCCGGGATGGGGACAGATTTTTTCCGTACCGAAAAACCGGAGCCCTGTTCTGGCGCTGGAATTTCCCTCCTCCTCAATAATTATTTTTTGCTTCCCAAGCTCTATATACTACCTCTCAACATTGATATTTTTCACATCTCTGAATGATTTACCACACCTATGGTGGCGCGGACCCTCCCATCGGGGTCGAGCATATTGGGCTGGAAGATATTGCCGACGAGAGTCTAAGTGCCTGTCATGCCATTCGGAGGAAGCGTCTAGAGCTTATGAAGGAGCACTTCATCGCTCACAAATCGGAACCATCAGAAAAAATCATTTGACAAAGCTCTGCTCCGGGCAGCAAAGAGTCCCAAGGGAGAAAGAACTCCACTCTCACAATATGAACAATATGAACAATCTGCACGATTCAATGTATGTATACATTCACTTTAACTCACCGATTGCAATGATCCAGAAAAAGAGAGTGAAGCATGCTGTAAACGTCGCCGCCATCAGATGCCTCCTTTCGTTCAGGAGCTCTTCAACGGTGATGGTAGCGTTCGGATCGAGACCATAGTCATCGAACTCTTCTTCGAAGCGTTTTATTCTCTTCGAGTGTCCCTTCCGAACAACTTTCTTCCGCGGAGGCATATTCGCTGGAAGAGTAAACCTGATTCAGATTCACGTCTCGAGATTCATGCTCGAGTGAATAGTAGCCCTATGTATAAAACTTTTTTAACTGTGTTTTCTGAAAATGGAAGAGTTCACCACACGGCGGGGCACTCGATGGATGACCAAATGATCGGAAGGCTTCCCTTTTATCAAAAGGAAAAAAACAGTCCTTGAGTATGATCTATCAAGTCGAATGATTGATTCGATGTATTTCACAGCAAGATTAGGACTTGATGATCTAAATCATCGGAATAACTGATCTAAGATCCTTACTCATAATAATTGATAGGAGGTGCTCATTGGTGCCGGAAGATTCGATTAGATCAAGATGGCTATATACAAATGCTCCGAGACGAATTCGTAAAGCGGAAGAGCATTTGATGAGTCCCGTTCAGGTCGGAGAAGCATTCACGCGGATATCAAATCGGAGATCTCGGGATCTCCGTCCTCATATCTAAGGAGAGCCCGGTTTGGCCCCGGGTTACAGTGAGATGCTGATGTGCTCACAGTTCCTGCACGGACCCTCCGAGACCAGACCTAGTATTCTCTACAGGCTTGTGTGCTATTTGATCATTTACAGGATTTCATTGAAGGAAGAGTGTCTATTGGCTGGAGTGATTCCGCTTCGTGAAGCCCTCGAATTTCATGTCACTAGATCATCGGAGATTCCTCCATGAAGGCCTGAAACTCCCGATTAGAACCACGCGGATAGATTCTCCTCTTCAACTGCGATTCGCGTCACGTTTCCCACGACGCACCGAGAAGCTTAAGCTCGGGCTAGGTTTGAGCTTTACGAGGCGAGAATTCATTCGCATGAAGCCGCAAGCGTTAGCGACACCGTGTCCGCTGAATTTCGAGTGTGACAAACTCTGACTGATATACTACAGTCGAGAGATTATCTCGTGCGCGAAGAAAAAGCCGTTCTACGAATGCGAGAAGTGTCACACGAGCGAGCTAGCGAATCAATTCGAGCTCTGTGTACATGCTGATGGGAAAGACTTTACGAGGAAGTTAAATCGTCGGCTCGAGCTCCTGTCATCGGAATGTTCTCGGGCATTTCGGAACTTTGGCAATACTCAATCACACGTTTCGACGAGCAGCTTCGAGCTGGTCTTGTTGCTTGCCAAGATATCTGGTGCTTGCTGCCATGTTCACTAAGCGACTCGAAAAGTCGCCCTTTCGAGCACTCTCGCAATCGATCTATCCCGAGAGTTTGATGCTCGGCTTCAAGTCCGGCTCTAGTGGGCCATGTGCGTCGCAGCTCCGACTTCCCAACGAGGTATAAATGTTCGCGCGGTAACAAATGCGCGGTGCTGCCTGAGGTACGAGAATCGGAGAGTTTCGCCGTCCATCCCCTATTGACGGAACGAGGCCGATACGGTGGCATCGAAAGCATCGAACGCAGATGTTAAACCCGAGCTAGCGATCTCATTCGAGATTCTCTCGACCGATGCGACTGGAGCTGAACACGCTGTTGATCAATCGGAATTCCTTTCCAGGAGTATCTTCACCGGAGATGATGGAAAAGGTTGGTGTGTGGTCGGAACGTGCCCCGATGGAGCAAAAGTTTCATTGCGATCCGGGAAGGGCTCAAGCAGTGAATGCTCGTGAGGAGTGAGCTACAAGCTATGATGAATCCCGCGAAAATTACGCCTACCTCAAGCAAACTCCCGTTCTGAGCTGAAGCAAGATCTCCGCCGACGGTTCGTTGGGTGGGGGGGAGCTCGGACGAAGCACTGATCGAAACCTATTCTGGTACTTGCTCAGGGGTCACGGGATTTCTTAAATTTTTCATTCAGCGCGCTTTGTTTTACTCTATGAGGCAAACTTTTCAGGGCGATGAACCATCGTCTTGAACTGGTGTCGCACAGTCAGCCGGTATCTGGGCCTCGGGCTCGACGACCACAGAGACACTCTTCGAGTGCGGACAATGGTGTCTGCCTGATGAGGAGGAATGCCTCGAGAGAGGGAGTCCTCTCGAACCTTGGTGGTAAATCGTCCAACCGAAGAAAAGCACGAACATTTTCATCGAGGCGTTTTTGAACAAGTTCTCCGTCTCGCCTCAGTGAGCTCGCGCTCCCGAATCTCGTGCCATCGATAGCTTTCGCATTCCTGAGATCCTCCTGAGGTCGATGAATAAGAATCCGCTCGCTCTGCTGACGTTCTCGAGCCTGCGCGGAAAAGTCATGGACTACCTCAGACGAAGGATATCCCGAGCACTATCGCTCCTTCCTTGTCCATCGAAAGGGAGCTCGGCTGCAGCATATGCGGCGGTAAGCTGTGGTGGAGGGGTGGAATTCTGCACAATCCACTTCTTGGATAGAAAATCTGTGGATCCAAAGTGTTTGATCCTTATGGAAGCCGATTGAACACCCACCTAGAGTGACTATAATCTCCCAGATTTGCGACCGTCTACGCAGAACACGGGACGCGATAATTCACAGGCCGCAATGGTGTTTGCGTTTGCGGCCAGCTCCCGAAGCGCTCATCGAGTAGGTCAGCCGAAATAACAGCAGGTGAAGGCGTTGATTGCGACTTCTGAGAGCCGCTTCTTTTGGCTAGGAGAACGTCCACAGTGTATTAGAGTCGAATCGATGAAATCGGCGCTCAGATAGGATAAGCGCATACAAGCATCAATTCATGGAGCAGTCATGCCATGGAATACTATGAGCTGAATGTTCCTTTGTTTCGGTCATCGGTCTAGTTTTTTCGGGGAAAAACTTCATCCGCTTCTCCAGCGAACGACTCAGTCAGGGATGACAATGACAATATTTTCCTCGAAGTCAACACGACATGAGCGAAGCATCGCAATTATCAATGACGAACGCGTTCTCAAAAGTATCATATCGAGTTTGAGTTCCTCTACGCAGCAACACTAATTTTCTTCTTTTCCTCATCTCACATTTGAGGAAAGCCGAATTGGAAACAGATAATACGAGTCAACTCGTACTGACTATATTCCAGAAGGTCAGTAGGCGTCGGCGGAGCCATGTTTTGTCGCCTTCCATCGACTCCCGGTCATTCGAGTCCCGGGTTTCCCGTGGGAAATCCACGAAACGCAGTCGAAAGCACGGCGCAGCGCTGCTCTCGCTGCCGGCTCGGAAGTCCGCCAGACGGCTATCCTCTGACAGAACTTCGAAGTCCATTGAAAGGACCGATTATTGCGAAAAATAGCGGTAAAAATAAGGAAGTGTCTGAAGAATACTTGTTTGCCCTTCACCCACGACGCCATCTGGAAATGCTATTTCAAGTGGTCAATGTTCTTCTGCTGAAAGCTCTTTTCGTTTCCGGCTCAACGTGGTTAAGGTATATTTCTGTGAGAAAGTATTCCTTCTATGGACTCATGGAGGAGCCGATGACGGGAGTGATGATGGAAACGTCACTCGATCTTCTCCGGATCGCCGCATCTGTTCCTGCTCAATCTCGACCTGTGGCTGAGTAGAACTTCGATGGATCGCGGCGAGCGACACCGGAGACGCCGAGAGGCGTTGGAGTGTTCAATCGAATGAATTGGACGAGAACAATTTCGTCTCGATGGTTCATGGAGAGCTCCAAGTTTCCCCGATGAAGGACCCCGGCGAAACAAAGAAACGCGCGCTGGCAACAGCGCCCGTGCCATAACTAAATCGTCTGCTCTCGGGGAGAGAAATCATTATCATCAACAACAATATCCGCGTGCGAGAAATTCGCGCAGATCGAACCGGCTCCGAGATTTTTATTGAGGAGCTTGGCTCGCGATTGTAATCCAGAATGGTATTTCTGTCCAGGCTGTTGAGGGCCGACATTTGTAAACAGAGTCTCCTGTCGCTCAGAAAGTCCACGGGGCATTCTTTCCAACATTGTAAAAAGGTAAGCCATGGTGGAGCTTCTCCCTCAATGTCATGGCAGTCCTTGCCAGATCCATAGCCTAAACCCCGAATCGCATGCTAGGCTCCTAATAGTGATCCTATATCAGATAAGGCCACGGTTTTCGCCCAGTACCGCTATTCGCGTCCGTCGGTCGGATGCGTCGCACCCTTGGGAGTTACATACTTACATAGACCTTCTGACACCGGTGATATTCCAGGCCCTGGAGCATTCAAACAACGACATCAATGAGGCGGTGAAATGGTTAGAATCCGAAGCAGTCAAACAAGGTTGGACCAAACTCGAGAGAGCTGCCGCGCGCGCGACGAAGGAAGGTGTCTTCGGTGTGGCACGCATCGAGAACGTAGCAGCGGTCACGGAAGTCAACTGCGAGACAGATTTTGTCGCGCGAAACTCCGAACTGCGTGGTTTCGCCGCTCGAGTCTCGGAGGGTCTTTGCGGAGGTTAGAAGCCTGGAGTTGACTTTAATTGAGTATGTATGAACTTGGTCGATGGTAGACCGATTCGAGGATGCCGCTCCGAAATACCACCCAAAGTGATTCCGACTACCTGCAGAGTTCGCGGAGAAAGCCCCTATCGGCCTGAAACAAATTTCTTGGGAGGAAATTTCGCAGTTGATTCTCGGAGAGCAGAGTATCGAAGAGAGCCGAGCGAGACTCGTCGCAAAGGTAAGGAGCCATATACGGGACTCGGGCCATCCTTAGTTTATGACCTCGATCAAGTCCCATTCATTCGGTGTACTGTCAACAGTTAGGCGAAAACTTGAATGTACGTCGGTCCTTGGTGGTATCTCCGCCTGACGGCGAGAAAGTCGCCGTGAGCTGCCATCCCGACGGCACGTTTGGGAGGTATGGCGCCGCTATCTTCTATAAAGGTTTGTTCTCGATCCGAGCTCGAGCTTTTTGGATGTACCCGCGCATACCAGCCGTGCTTGTCCTGAATGAATTGCGAACACGCCCGCTTTCCGGCAGGTGGCAACGCGGAAATCGCTGAGAAATTGTGCCGTCATATTATCGGAATGAGACCGATTGCCATCGGGACAGAAGAAGATTTGGCGAGAGCGAAGAAAGCTCGAGATGCGTACAAAGGTCAGGCCAAAGAGGCTGCGAGTGACAAGCAAGACGCTGCCGCTAGCGGCACGGAGGGACCTGGCGGAGAAGGAGAAGAAGAAGCCGAAGAAGAAGCTCCCGAAAGCGTCGATGAAGATTTGCTGCTGCTCCAGAATTACGTTTTCGATCAAGATCTGAAAGTGGCAGATATTCTCCGGGAACACGACATGGAAATAATGAAATTCTGGAGATTCGAGTGCGGTGATGAGCTAATGGAGAGCAAAGCTCGGGAATAATCGTCATCCGCCCTAAGGACTAGTAACTTTAAGCTTAATCATCTGATTCATTATTGGAGCGAATAAAAAACTCTTAGCCGGATTCGAGCATCCGAGTGCTCTTGTATTCAATGACGTCGTCGGTCGTGTTGATGTCAAGCAGCGGGGTCAACCCTGACCATCGTAGAACAATCATTGCACTCGATCAGGGCTGGTAAATTCACCAACGATTGTTTGCCCGCTTGCAACGACGCACCACACCTGCAGTCCATGCGGTAGGAATCATCTAGAAGCTCCATGTCATCCAAATTCACGGCCTGCCAGACCGGATGCATGAGTTTCGACGCGTTGGCGAGCTCGTTGTCATATGAGGCTCGCGCGGAAGGCTCCGATAAAGTCTGGAACATGGGTGTCCCAATGAGGCGATTGAGCTTCGAACATGTGTCCTTCCATAATGCTTCGAAGTGTGGCATGACGTAGAGTGATCTAAATGAAGCCTGACCTTGTACGCTTGCTCTAAGGACGAAAATGTCTCCCGATCTCCTGTGGGCTTGTCCGGATGGCATTTTAGAGCGAGTCGCTTGTAGGCATTCCTGATTTCTTCCTCTGTACAGTCACGGCTCAAGCCCAGTAAGCTATACTTATCCATCGTGACATATTGTCCCGCATAACCCGTTTGTTCCGATCAACTTCGGGTATCCTCATGTAATTGTTCCACTGATTCGAACGCAAGGAGCGCCGTAAGAGCCGGCCAGAACGTCGACTAAACAACGGGCGAGAGCAAGCTAGCAGACGTCTCGCGGGAAGAGCACTACATGGGTGGAGCCTATTCGCTATCGGCAGCTCAGGAAATCGAAAGCTGCGCGGGTGCTCCCGACGCCCTCGATCTATTCAGAGTCGCAGAGGCTTCCTTAGGAACGAGGAAGAAGTCTAATCATCTCGGGACATATCGCTGCGATGGCGGGATCCTTCGCATTAGATGGGCGTGTCCACGAGATGACTTTCATGTGAGATGCCGGGCGAAGCCAGAGAGATCTCGATTCAGCATCGACCATTTCAGTTGCGGCAAGATCACTCTACAAGCTGAGCTTGTGAATACGTTATCGACCAATGCGTCTGTATCAGCTGGCATCTGATTGAACGCAAGAGGTCGGACACACTTCAGGATACGCTCATAGGCATGGTGGCCAGCCCAGGGAGTTCCGAAACTCATGACAAGGTTCTTGCGGTTTCTGATAATAGTTCTGCGACGAGGTAACCATCGGTGATTGGTTACGGAGACAGTCACTGATACCATGGTCGGGAGCGCAACCATGTGCGCGGGAACGATTGGAGGAGGAGGGAAGGGGTTAGCGGTACATCTTCTATTGAATTTTCCGGCCCGCGTCTGATATTTCCACTCTGTTGTGCGTTAAGCCCTCCATGTTACCAATAATTCTTCTCAACATACGAAGCGAGAGAAGTGAGAGGATCATGTGGAGGGGCCCTCGTCTGAATCCCCACCTGGGCCCAGAATTTTCGCTCCGCGACCCTGTATGAACGTACTGATTTTGAATGTCACGCGGTGATCTCGGCGATCAATTCCTAATGGCCGACGATACGAAATTTCGACCTCCTCCTCTCTCGGGAAGCTCTCCGGGCGAAGTCTGCCAGCGGTGACAGCACAGAGAGCTGCGAGAAATGCGTTCCCAATGGTTCTCTCGACTCCGAGAGGATGATGAATAACTAGAGGTGGCTCATAACTCATAACAGAGCGGGGCTCTGGGTGCATGAAAATCGGCCGGAGTAAAAATGGAATGAAATACGATTGGGGTATGTCACACGGATGGTTTCTGTACTCCACTGCCACCCAGAGGAGCCTCGTGTTTGAGTTGGGGGTCTTCTACTTCAAGTCTCTCCGTAGAAGACCGTCCATCAGAGAGCGGCTCGCGACCCAGAGCCATATTCCTGGGAGATTGAAGGAAGGAGCGAACCATTGAAATAGACCATATTCTCTTAGGCCATACATATACACATTCTGTTTTGTACAATCATAGTCGAGAATCAGTATCGATACTTCGTGGAGTAATCCTTGGGCGATACGACGAGACCTCGACCTTTCCTGGCGCCCCTGAACACGGTCTCAACGATATCGATCATCTCCTGTTTGTCTTCGAGCGCCCAATTTATTTTGTTGTTGTTTCCGGTCCCTAAATCGATCATGATGTGCTTGTTCCGGAAGAAGAACATCACGGTACACGGGTCGTACAGCTCGTACATCTTGTTGAAATCTGGTACCTCAGTTATGTCCACAAGGTACATCACAGCGAAGTTCTTCACCTGAAACATCAAAAATCGTTTCGAACTCCAGACTAACACGCAGAATCCCGTGGACAGAAAATTGAGCGAGGAGGAAATGAGGACCCCGTTCCCGTCGCGATCTCACCTTCTCAGCGATAGAGTACAGAACTTCATCCATTTTCATGCAGGTTGGGTCCCAGTCGTGACCGAAACGTATGACGACCACCCTATCTTCTTCGGAGAGGATGGCCTGATCGACCTGCCAGCCATTGTGTAGATGCTGGAGCATATACGACATCTTGGCGGTGTTAAAGTCTCAAATCTCGGGGTTACGGAAGTTACAGAGCGACTGAATTACGAAAATAAAACTCCGGATTCCTTTCACTCCGAGGAGGTAACGGGGGAAGGCGTCTGCTGAGCAGGAAGCTCTCGCGACGATGAAAACAAAAACACTGGAGAGATGCGAGCCCCTCCACCGCGCGATTCAAAATTACGTCAGGACGGCAGCGTCTCGAACATAACTGGCGCGCATATGCCAGGTTTTAGCAGGTTCGTCTTTTCCGTTTCATGTTGGCTTATTCCGAGCCTGGGGCGGATCACTGGACGGTGGCATCTAGGAGTCCTTTCAAGCAAGATCATATCGTAACGTTGGATACGCCCCCCGATCGAATCGATCAATCTTAAGGAAAATGACCGCATGTAACCACGCTGAGTGAGGGCATCTGAAGCCAGAATGCTAGGGCTCGGCTCAAATCGGAGAGCAACCGAATCGATATAGTCATGCTTAAGCAATAAATAATATATTGGTCGGGCTGATCTTGGGTGGAGGAGAACCGGACAAGAATCACATATCGCTCCAGACTGAAGAGAGTGCGGGGTGCGCGGATATAAGTCTAACGATAAGCTCGGCAAGGGCCGACTAGCCATAAATTCAAAAATGTGGACGGCGGGACATGTGGACTTAGGACCGCTGCAGAGCCGCTCTCCGTAGTGATGACATTCGCGTACATCAGACCTCGCGTTCAAGAAAGCCCCCTCACGATGAAGGTCGAATACAGCGATGCATTCGGCGTGCATTCGAATGTGTGGATTCTCGAAGATATGCCGTGTCTTGAGAATATTTTCACTCTCTGATTCGGATATCCGAAGCGGCATGGGCTCGAGAATCTTGGAGTTTGATCAGGACGCCAATCGAGAGGCTACAAACCAGGCGGATTTTATGAGGCCAAAAAGTTGTAGGTGAGGGAGAACGGCCAATAGAAAAATTTAATCACAGTGACATCCGATTCTCCAAAGTGTGGCCGCTCCCGAATGCCATTACCGGGAAGTGTTGAATTTTTATCGCCCAACTGGCGTAAGCGCCATTCTAGGTAAAAGAGCGCTGTTTGACTCCGCGCTCACTTCTTGAGTGACTCTCTGGGACATGGTAATTCGAAGCGCGCAAGTCCATCAGAACTGCTGTTAGAGCGGATGCGAGTCAGCCAAAGCCTTGGGACTGTCCATCAGAGTCCCAAAGCTTTGGCTTGGGTATTCCAGAGTCGGAATACTCCAGGTGACCAAGTACGCTCTGCTGATGCGGGCTGTCTTGACTGTCGAGCCTGTTCGGAATTGCATCACTCCTGATGGCCTTGAAACTTAGGGCGCCTCCCCACCACGACTCTCGAATCCGAGGGAAATATCAGAGAGCACGCTTTCCCAGCTTCTGGCTTTCGATGCTCGTTCGAGAAGCGCTGCAAACACCATGGCCACATCCGCTCCTGAGATCAAATTGACCGATCGCGCTTTCCTTATCGGAGAACACGTCGCGTCCCCAGGTAATAACGATCTCTCCGTCATCGCGTTTCACGATAAGAGATCGCCCGCAAGATATATATGCATGTGGAGCAGCTCCCACAGGAAATCGGTGGACTTATTGTGATCCGGAATAACGCTTCAAGACGCTCGCTGGTATACCATCTAGGCCGCAGCCGGTGCGTCCGTTCAGATTGGCGGGCAGCTAGGTGACATCGTCCGTATTCACGTGCTTCCTGGATACCCATAACGTTCCTGAGTATATATCGAGTTCCCCGTAGCAGCTTTGTAGACGCAGTGGACCGCCATGGGTACCTATTCGAGATGCACGTTCGCAACTCGGTAAGCATGAATTCGCTGAGAGTGGCTCCGCGGCAGCGCTGTGTTTGATCGAGAAAGCACAACACGCGATTCTCTATTCGGTTTCTCATTGATGAGTGCCACAAAAGTGAGAGCGAAGAGCTCTACTCTGTTGACACCGAGGACCCGCGCGGAACGATTCCCGGCGGGAACTTTCCACTCGAGTGGGGAATTTCTTTATTGTACTACCTGCGATACAAAGGTCGATCACACCCGGAAACACAGCTGCCTGAAACATTTGGAGTCGACCGCTCATAGACATAGAGCGCGTTTTCTCGAGGGAGCCGAAGCGAGAAGAAAGCGACAGGTCAGTTTGGTCGAATCGTTCGCTCAGCTCACCGAAGACAAGTTAGGCAATCAACTCTCATCGGTCTGGTGGAGGCTTTCGGGGGCGCCAATATACCCGTGCACGCCCTGGACGACAAGAATCTGAGAGCATTTCATGAAGCGAACTTGAAGATATCGGGCATATACCTTCAGCGACCAAAGTCAGGCGGGATTATCTTTCGAAAGTCTTCGAAGCTCACGTGAATCTTCGTAAGACATCTCTCGCAGACAGGAAAGCAGTCGCAATACTTTGCGATGAGACCACGGACGTCGAGGATAGGTACGTTCTCAACATCTTGGCTGTTCCTTGCTGCGCAGATGAGGAACTCCAGCTGAAGGCTCTGCTCTACTCGAACGCGCTGTGCTCGAGAGTACCAACTTCAAGACGGTCAGCGAAGCAATTTTGCAAGCTCTGCCGAAGCTCGGAATTCCTCCGTTGGAAGTGAGTTCTTCCGTCACAGATAACGCAACATACATGCAGAAAGCATGGAACGCTTCCCTAAAGGCTTTATTCCTGAATGCAGTCCACGTGACCTGCAGCGCTCACATTTTGAACCTTGTCTGTGAAGCATGGATCTCATGCTATAGAGGAGTCAACGGACTGGTCTGCAGGATCAAGAAGGCTTTCACGGCCTGCCCCGCTCGCAGAGCGCGATTTAAACACATCCTGCAGAACCATGAGAAGCCCCCCAGCCTACCCAACACGCCGGTTTTGATTACCGTGTTTCCTGTATTATAAGAGTTTCCTGTATTCCTGTATTATTCCTCTTCTTTTTAATGCCTCTGCAGCTCGTCTGTCTATTATAAGGTGCTCCTCTAATAGAGGGTACCTGTCTATAATCAAGCTATTCTCCATTCGGACTTCGAAGAGAATACTTCTTGAAGGGGCATCCGTGGGATAGAATACGCGGATTTTTCCAATTGTCTTGCGTGCATCAGTGTAGAATAACGATAACTCGAGTAACGCGTGTTCACGCGCCGATCGTACTCTGCTCGTGTCGTCTGTTTATTGACTTGTTATCGATCCCGCCAGGTGGCGACTCTGTCTATACGACAATAGGTTGCGGGATTATGGCTACCCACCTGGGGGTGCTCTTCGAAAAGAGGGTGCTCTTTTACTTTTCGATCCCCCCGTGGGTGCGCTCCTATTAGAGGGTGCTCTTATGATGTCGGAAATACGGTTGATGGAATAGCTAGTTCAAAGCGGCTCTGTATCACGCTGACCTTTGGAGGAATATAGTGAATTCTTCAATGATGAGACGGGAGCTGGCTCGAATGCGCCCAATATTGTCGACTTGTGCCAGACAGGAAAGATAAGAGAAGAGCTCGCCAAGATCAGGATTTACTTCCCTCATCTCAAGGCGACGCTAACGGACTATGAAGGCAGCAAAATAAGCGCCCATATCGTCATAGATGATTTGAGCCTACTAGTTGAATGGTGTTAATCTTGCAGTAATCACACCGAATTCACTCAATTACGGGTTTATTGCAGGATTCGTAGATAACGTGGTCATCCCCGACCGGCTCGTTACAGAGACAACGTCTTCCCTCTCTCTTCTCGTTCCTTCTTTCTCGATCGTTTTGACGCGCGATCATTTTAATTTGGATCTAGCTATGAGTATTCTTCTCTGTTCTAACAATGGTCCAATGTGAGTCCAACTCGTGAAGGAAATCTCGTGGTAACCAGCAGCGCTCTCCGGGAGTCTGCAGAAGAGCTCCAAAGCTACATCGCGGTAGATTCAAGCAGCCTGCGGCTAATTCCTTCAGAGCATGACGCGTTTTCGATCCCTTGAAAATGAAATCTGTCCGAATTCCGTCTGAGTTTGTCGTGGATAATATTCCTTGTTGTGAGAATGATGATCGAGCGCAGGCAGAACTGCGGATGTATCAATCACAGTCTGATGAACTTGTTGTGTTCGATCATCCGATCTTATTCCTTATATACCCTTGAGCATATACATTGATTTCGTCATTCCGAGTACAGCACGTCCCATAAGGTGAGAGTAAACCTATTATGTGGGTCGCCGCAATACACAGATCCATACGGGAGGCAGTGTAGACGCGAGCGATGAGACGAGCGAATCCAACCACAATACTGCGACGACCTTGTGATAGCCGGGGTAGACATAGATGAAGTACAAAGAAGCCTATCCGTGTTATGTATTTGGTGCGAGGAAAATGAAATTATAATCAACACTGAGAAAACGAAGGTACTGAAGTTCCGAAAGGCCGGCCAGATAGGGAAGCGCAAATTGTATATACATCGAAAGCCAATCGAATACGTGACCAGCTTCAAGTATCTGGGGATCACCATGCAGCCCGCGCTGAGTTTCAGCGAACACATCGAACAACTCCTGACCAGGACGGCCACCACCATGGCATGCCTAGGGAGCATCCGAAGGTTGCCACTGGAGCTGGCCATCAAGATATTCAATATCAAGATCGTGCCAACCATCACATACGGAATGACGTGTATCTCGCAAAGACTGTCCAAAACAGCCTTACTAAAACTGGACAAGTGCAAGACACTGTATCTCAAGTCCGCCCTTGGGCTAAGCAGGAATACATCGAATACGTTCACCCTGGAGCTGGCAGGGGAGAAGTCCCTCTGTGAGAATTTGGAGGAACAGGGATTCAGATTTGAGGTAGAAGCCTGGAAAGAGTACGGAACGATAAGATCGGAAAAGAGAGCCAAATTCGAGACCGAACAATACGCATTGGGACCAGCCTTCACGGGAGAGGGGATGGAGACAACAGAACAGACCCGACCGCCCGACGATTGTTAGAACCACTTATCATGGTTATCATCATAAAATCTGTAGGAGGAGAGACTTCTACACTGTAGCACACAGCGATTGTGTTTGTACATACTGTGGGAAGAGCAAAATCACCCGCCTGCACCTACTGGAGTGTGCGAAATTCGAAGGAATGTCACTCAATAGTATAGTTAGAAGAATTCTTGACGATTAAGCTGCATATACAATGCGAAAATAAATTCTAGAAATAGCGAAAAAAAAAAATAACTGCGTTCGGGATAGTCCAAACGCAGCGACAGCGAAAGTGAAGAGATCCTCGGCCAATGGGAGGCGCTCGATAAGTTCGCTCTGATCCTGTTCCCATCCCACGCGCGCTGTCGGCGGATGATGTGCATCGCAGCCGCAGAACGAGAGCGCCTTCTCCTCCGCTCTCAAGAGAAGATATCGACTCGACTGCCTGAAGATCCCCCTTCAGTGCCCGTGCTGGTGGCCGTCGATGAGTCCGACGATTTTTCTACGTTTCCTCCATTCACCCCAGTTCATCCCGCGCTCGTATTCGAATACGTGAATCAAACTGCTCATTCACCCGAGTCGTCCACTTTTGCAACATCTCCGTAAGAATAATCCCCCCAGTGGTCACAATCACAGGCTCCTCGAGCTGTGATTATAATCATAGTCATAGTCAGTCATCATCATTCATCATGATAGTGATCTTCGGCTTGAGGCCTGAAGTCGCCTTCCTGTACATGTAGCCCGAAACGCGCTCCAGGAATGTCCGGAGCTTGACGAACGGACGAATGAGCGTTGAACAAACGTTCTCTTAAGCTATGAGAGTAGAGCAATCATTCTCGGCTCAGCCATCGACCCCTCGAGATTTCCTTCTCCTGGAATGACTCGGTATATCCATTGATTGGTACGACGACAAGGATTGATGTTCTTGAATGCGCTATGCTCATTTTTCCCGTGGTCGACACACCTTACGCGATGGCGATCGTCGAGTTGAAGATTCCCTCCATCATCACAGTCATGATCCGAAGTCTTGGAGATGTCCTCTCTCCAGCGGTCGATTTAGGCTGCTCCACGTAAGCCTGTTCGGGGATAGAGGAGAATCCTCCCAGCGAGCAGTCCTTTCGAGCAAGATCATATCGTAACGTTGGATACGCGCCCCGATCGAATCGATCAATCTTAAGGAAAATGACCGCATTAACCACGCTGAGTGAGGGCATCTGAAGCCAGAATGCTAGGGCTCGGCTCAAATCGGTGAGCAACCGAATCGATATAGTCATGCTTAAGCAATAAATAATCTATCGGTCGGGCTGATCTTGGGTGGAGGAAAACCGGAGTGGAATCACATATCGCTCTAGACTGAAGAGAGTGCGGGGTGCGCGGATATGAGTATAACGATAAGCTCGGCAAGGGGCGACTAGCCATAAATTCAAAAATGTGGACGGCGGGACATGTGGGCTTAGGACTCAGGGCTGCTGCAGAGCCGCTCTCCGGAGTGATGACATTCGCGTACATCAGACCTCGCGTTCAAGAAAGCCCCCTCACGATGAAGGTCGAATACAGCGATGCATTCGGCGTGCATTCGAATGTGTGGATTCTCGAAGATATGCCGTGTCTTGAGAATATTTTCACTCTCTGATTCGGATATCCGAAGCGGCATGGGCTCGAGAATCTTGGAGTTTGATCAGGACGCCAATCGAGAGGCTACAAACCAGGCGGATTTTATGAGGCCAAAAAGTTGTAGGTGAGGGAGAACGGCCAATAGAAAAATTTAATCACAGTGACATCCGATTCTCCAAAGTGTGGCCGCTCCCGAATGCCATTACCGGGAAGTGTTGAATTTTTATCGCCCAACTGGCGTAAGCGCCATTCTAGGTAAAAGAGCGCTGTTTGACTCCGCGCTCACTTCTTGAGTGACTCTCTGGGACATGGTAATTCGAAGCGCGCAAGTCCATCAGAACTGCTGTTAGAGCGGATGCGAGTCAGCCAAAGCCTTGGGACTGTCCATCAGAGTCCCAAAGCTTTGGCTTGGGTATTCCAGAGTCGGAATACTCCAGGTGACCAAGTACGCTCTGCTGATGCGGGCTGTCTTGACTGTCGAGCCTGTTCGGAATTGCATCACTCCTGATGGCCTTGAAACTTAGGGCGCCTCCCCACCACGACTCTCGAATCCGAGGGAAATATCAGAGAGCACGCTTTCCCAGCTTCTGGCTTTCGATGCTCGTTCGAGAAGCGCTGCAAACACCATGGCCACATCCGCTCCTGAGATCAAATTGACCGATCGCGCTTTCCTTATCGGAGAACACGTCGCGTCCCCAGGTAATAACGATCTCTCCGTCATCGCGTTTCACGATAAGAGATCGCCCGCAAGATATATATGCATGTGGAGCAGCTCCCACAGGAAATCGGTGGACTTATTGTGATCCGGAATAACATACAAAGCGAAAGGGCAAGCCTTTCTCGTCATATCCGATGAATATTGAGAACACAGAGCCTTGCATATCCTGCGGAGTCTCTGGAGCGAGTTGACATTGTGCGGGGACGTTTCGGAAGCTCCAAGAGTGCTCGAAACTCGTTGAAAGTTCAGAACGACCACGCAAACGAAATCCCAAGAATTTGTGAAGAACATCCAAGCTCGAGCGCCGCACCACTTTTCATCTTCTCGATACAACGACACAGGTGTTCCCCTATAGGTGTTCTTCCGCCATGGGACTGATTGAGAGAAGGGACCGTCCATCGATCCGCACGGAATGAAAGGCGTTTTGTTTTTCCTGGACCGAGCGTCCTTCGACCGAGCCGTACAATATCAGGAGCTCTATTCCAGAGCTAATGCCCGCACCACATCCTTGGTGAGATCGAGTTCTGCGACCTCTTCCCCCAAAAACCGTCGACTCAACTCCCCGAATTCTTCCGCCAAGAGACTTCATGGGGCACTGGACTGTCTTTGAGAGCCAATACCCTCTTGACAAGCATGAAAACACTCCAGTTGCGCCACATCGCATCCGAATGGCCTGAAGAATTCCTCAAGCGGAATGCAGGCATCAAGGATGTTCGCGGCAAATCGGAATATAGTCAGTCAATCGAACATCATCAACGAAACTGATTTTTATTCAATCGGTATTCCATGATGCTCCCGAGATTCAAGGCATCGTATATCTGGCGAAAGCATTGGAGAGAGCCTGGGCGTAGGGACCAGTCAGGGTCTTCCTTAATTGAGCGGAGATGTTTTGGTTCACTTGGCGACGGAACTCGGCGAAGCTGAAAACAGAATCCGATCATAATATTTTTGCATCCTCCTTTTTGCAGGATCTCACTGAGAATCACGACTGTGAATTTCTATCTTCGTACCGTGGTGCGTTCAACTCGAGCCTTCCCCGGAGAACTTTGGTGGTTGAGGTTATTGATGAGTCAACTTTAATGCTTTCGAACTTGATCTGATTTCCTTGAATGCCGCGAACCATGATCAGAGCTCGAGTTCCGTTGTCGATCCGAGTGCCGGTCGAGATACGATGATATCTCATCGCGTTGTCTCCCTGTAAGCGGGAATCCCTTCGTTACCGGGCTGTGATGAGCACGAGTTTTTCGCTATCATACGGCGTCGATCCCGAGGATCAGGATTCCTCTACCGAGTACCATGATCGTCGACCCACCTCAACGTCAACATTCATCATGAATTGAGTTGAGCCCAAGAGCACCTCGCAGCCGAACACTCTATTGGAACCGCCGGCTCGAAGATAAGTGCAATCGCGGTTACGCACGAGTCCGCTGAGGCCGACGATTGATCCTTCAGTGAAGTTAGCTCTCACGTCGCGGTTGAAAGGTCCTGTGGAAGTCCGGAGACGTCAGCGATGGGAGATTGTCTCGCGATGAGGAACGATCTACCGTCCTATAGAATGATCTACCGATTATAGGCGATCGTGCGAACGTACCATTCGAGGCAACGAAAACTTTGAACGGGCTTGCCCGAACAGGATCGAGGCCTAGGGTATTGAGCTGCGGAAAAAAAACAAAGCAATGAACTTCAGAGCTTTTCCGGACATGCTCTGAGAAAATACGCATGTATTTCCTATGGAGCGTCTACGCGGCTGGAAGCTCACCTGATTCTTCAAATCTGAGAGAACTCTATCCATTAAGGAGTCGACGGCAGGGTTCCCGCAAGCGACAGAAGCCGCAGCAGCTATGAGTAGAACTCGGGCGAACATTACCAATCTGTGCCGTGGCTTATCCTGTCAGATCGAATTCAATCTCAGACTCCGTGAATATGAAGTTCGACTCCTCATCCGACTACATTATCGAAATGGCCACTCCTGGTCGCTCTACTCACGTTGATACCAAGTTGAGTGCTTATCCCAGCTTCGACGTCTGCCGAGGAGACGCTGCATTTTATAGCATTGGAGGAATATGACACCACCATGCAACACTGTCGTGGGAAAATCCGTAGGCTTCTTGTTGCCCTACTCGTGATCCTGAGGTCCTGGGGATTACGGTATCAAGAATCGGTCGCTTATCTTGTGCCCGGACAGGCCGCAGATGTTTTTCTGAACAGGTCACCACTAACGGTGACTCGATATCCTTAGAAGCGATTGGTGCGAGACCACTCGTCCATTTACTTAGAGCCGACACCGGCGGGAATTTTCCCTTCGAGTGGGGAATTCCTTTATTGTACTACCTGCGATTCCAAGGTCGATCACACCCGGAAACACAGCTGCCTGAAACACTTGGAGTCGACCGCTCATAGACAGAGCGCGTGGTCTTGAGGAAAATCCGTAGGCTTCTTGTTGCTCTAATCGTGATCCTGAGGTTCAGGGGATTACGGTATTGGGAATCGGTCGCTTATCTTGTGCCCGGACAGGCCGCAGATGTTTTTCCGTACAGGTCAACACTAACGGTGACTCGATATCCCTAGGAGCGATGGGTGCGAGACCCCACGTCCGTTTACTTAGAGCCGACATGGCATCAATCTCTACCGCGAAGTACTTTCTTCTCGCAATTCGCGAGTCCGTGATGAGACAGAGACTGTCCCCTGTCCGTCCCAGGGCTCCAGAATAAATGGTTGTTCGGAATGGAAATCGATGAATTCGAAATCAGAGCGGTGCTACGGCTCGTAGCGGCTTTCGTCGCGGCATTCACGATCGAGTCGAAAGCCGTGAATTTTGGCGCTCTGGAGCGTGAGGTTGTGAATTTTGGCGCGCTGGAGCGTAAGGCCGTGAACTTTGCCATTCGCTCCTCATCTCACGTTCCGATGTTATTTTTCCCTGAATATCCCCCCACACATAATCGGCTTAGCGTCTGTCTGTACACAAAATTTGACGCCGATTCTTACGGTGACTGCAGCGTACCTAGAATACCTTCGCCCGTCACCAAGCGTGTCCCCAGCTCCAAATTCATTCTGCAAGCGGACATAAATGACTTCCAGAGCGGATCTATTTGACCTGCCGTTGCACAGCCGCCGCGGCCGTGCTGCGGTCACTGGGCTCGACGGCGCTCGCCGCTGCGCGAATTCTACGCTCGCCGCTGCGCGAATTCTACGCTCGCCGCTGCGCGAATTCTACGCTCGCCGCTGCGCGAATTCTACGCTCGCCGCTGTGCGAATTCTACGCTCGCCGCTGCGCGAATTCTACGCTCGCCGCTTCGCGAATTCTACGCTCGCCGCCATGGCCGTACTGCGCCCGTTCTGCGCTCGTAGCCCCAAAGAGGAATTATTAGTCCTCGAGTTAGCTTGGAGGTTTCTCCGTACAGGAGCTCTTAAACGCCGCCTTCGCTGCGATAATGGAGCCGTATTTTCCGTTTTCCATTTTTCATTCGTCGGATCTGTTGTCGTTATTGAAGTCGACTCGCTTTATACTGCTGTGATCAAATTCTTTCTCAATGGCACGCCAAGATATTCATGATGAAGATTACCATCCGACGACTGAGAGCAAGCGTCAGAAGGTGGCATGCGCGAGAACCCGCCCTGAAAGAGAAACAGTCGAGCACAGGCAGGTACGGCTTACCGCAGATGCTATTCCGCATGCCGCGAAGAGAGCATGTGAAAATCCCGTTACAAGAGCAGAGCGCCTTGCCTCCGATGCAGCTGCCCGTAGCGCTCGACGGTCCGCTCAGAGGGGAGCTTCACGAAGAACGGCGGGAAGGCTTTCGACCCGCCTCGCGAGGCATTTCAGGGAAGTCGAACCTCATCATCTCGGTCCATTGCAACACGTTTGCGTAAACTGCGGTGCCAAACTTTTCCCTTCGGAGAAAAAAGCGCAACACCCCAACATATATCTAGATTGCTATAATTTAGCGCGGATATCCACGACAAACTTCGGAAATTTTCCGTGCCGTCTCCGAGACCTCCTAAAACGAGGGTCCTGCGATGAGGCCGAATTCCTCAGGGTGCAGCGAAACTTCCATAAATACATTCGCAATTTCAACTCCTCTCTTGCCATAGCCTCAATGGGTGCGCAAACTGCCAATCCACGGGCCGGAGGACCGTATTGTTTCCGTATTCACGGACAGGTTTATCACAGTGTTGGACCCTTGCACCCTCAAGAAGACGAAGTGAGACAATTCGGCCAAATCTACATACTTGACACGGCTTAAGCGACCGCGCAACGATTGAGCTTACCTCAAAACGCTCAATGCGACCGAGGCTTACCCGCAGAATTGGGACAATTGATATCGCATATCAATCCGTACGCCAATTCTTACAAAAGGATGGCTGAACTCGAGGAAGCTGAGCTCACGGCCGGAAAACGAGAGAATCGCTCACCTCTGAGGTTGACGATGGTTTTCGACGATTTCCGCTCAAATGGACTCGAAGGGAGACTGTACGATTTGCCGACGGCGAATGAGGTAGCTGTCATATACGTCGGCGAAGATGGTGACGTTCCAGCGACCCGTTCTATACGCATCCACGACAGACGAGATCATCTGATCAATATATCGCACCTGGACAAACGATGCGACCCTCTGACCTATCCTTTACTTTTTCCCACCGGACAAGACGGCTGGACGCCCACCGTGCAGGACGATCGTGGGGAACGGATCACCCACAAACAGTTTACTCGCATCTGATAGCTATACGGGACGCATTCAGTCCCGTTCTGCCGGCCGGTAAACTGTTTCAGCAGTTCGCAGTCGATTCTTTCGTGAAAATTGAGCAAAATCGACTCAATTACTGCAGACAGAATCAAGCCCAGATGCGCGCAGAGTCTTATATCTTATAACAATCTACAAGATTTTCTGGAACACAACGAAGCCTCTCAGGCACCAGAGGGCAGGCGCATCATTCTTCCGTCTACTTTTATCGGATCCCCACGTCATATACAGCAAAATTACCAAGATGCGTTGGCCATGGTGTTGAGATATGGTAAACCCGACATTTTCATGACCGTCACTTGCAATCCGAAGTGGGGAGGAATTCAGGAGAATCTGTATCCTGGGCAATCGGCACAGGATCGTCCAGATTTGATCTCTAAAGCTTTTCAGCTGAAGCTCAACGAAATTTTCCACGACATGCTGAAGAAGAAAGTTTTCGGGGAGATCGCCGCTCATAAAATGGTCATAGAATTTCAAAAGCGGGCTTTACCTCATTTTCATGCCTTGCTCATATTGAGCGCTCAAGATAAGCCACGCGACGCTGAAGAAGTCGATCAGTGGAGAAATCCCGGACCCCGTCAAAGAACCACGTCTCCACGAAGTTGTGAAGACTCTGATGATTCGTAGAAATTGCGGCGCTCTTGACGCGAAAGCTCCATGCATGAAGGACGGCCGTTGCTCGAAGAACTTCCCAAGAGACATTCGCTCTCAAACATCGGTGGCCGACGGCTACCCGCCCTTGCGCCGGAGGAATGAATTCAGGACAACCGTAGGAAACTGCGCATATGGCGACGAGTGGGTAGTCCCGTACAGTCCGTATTTTTCACTCACGTACGGTTGTCACATAAACGTTGAGATCTGCGGCATGATCTCATCGGTCAAGTATCTCTATAAATAAGTCTACAAAGGATCTGATCGAGCACTCATCCAGATCCAATCAAATGAGGAGGAAATGACGGGATCAAGAGGCCCCTGAACGCGAGATACGTCTGTGCTCCTGAAGCTTTGCACAGAATCTTCGGATATGCACTCCAGGAGAAATCGCATAGGATAGTGAGGCTCGCCGTCCATTTGCCCGACCAGCCAAACATTTATTTTCACGACGGCGACGAGCACTCAGCGCTGAACTGCGCTGCTGTGAGTTTCACAACATTGACGGCGTATTTTCGACTGAATGCTACATGGGATGATCAAGCTTCAGACTCTCTGAATCTCACTGATCTCTATTATCATGAATTGCCCGAGTTCTTCATTTTCAAGCCGAAATCGGTTGGTCCAGAGGGAAGCGGCCATCGGCGGTATCATCGGTCGAATGTATACAGTCTCGCCCTGAGACACGGAACGATATGCTCTTCGAGTACTCCTCTTGGATGCGCGATCCCCTAAACCTTTCGATGACCTGAAAACCATCGACGGCATCCTAGTACACCGAACATTCATGCATGCTGCCAAAGCAGCGGGGCTCTTCAATGATGATGCGTATTTCACATAAAGTCTGGAAGGAGCGTGCTCCTTCCGAACCCCCAAACTTTTGAGGATATTCTTCGTATGTCTCATAGCTTCCTGTGAAGTTTTCGATGTTCAGGCTCTATGGGATGATTTTCACGACCATTGAACGGAAGATGATGCGCATCGTGGTTTCTCGAGCGGAATTTCACCCGCCTTGGCCTACAATGACATCAGTTATAACCTAGCATCTCTCGGCGCGACGTTCGAAATTTTCTTGCCACGGCCGCAGTGTGATCTCCCCGATATGGCTTCGATCCAACTTGATTACACTCGGCATTACCATGAGGGAGTACCCATGTATGCAAGTCTAAACAATGATCCGAGAAGGTCAATCGAAGGGAGGCTATTTCTTCATAGATGGCCCCGTGATCGGGCGGATCGGGCGAAACATATTTGTACAACACACGGTACAACATTGCTGTAGGAGAGGGACGCAAAGTACAGTGCATCGCCTGGACCGGAATTGCCGCGAATTTATCGCCTGGAGGTAGATCTCTCTGTTTGAATTGAATGTTCACGATAGTAACCGCACGTCAGCGATGAGTTGCTAACAGAAAGAAGCCAAGTATCTTGCTCAGCTAGATTTGATAATTTGGGACGAAATCTCCATGGTACCAAAAGTAGCTCTAGAAGCCGTCGATGACCCCTTTAGAGAAGTCTCACAGAAAAACTCGCTCTTCGGCGGCCTTACGATCGTAGTGGGAGGGGATTTCCGTCAGACTTTACCAATCGTTGAGCGCGGTTCCCCTCGACACCATTGATGCCTGCGTTCTACGCTCACAATTGTGGCCCTTTTCCCAAACACTTCGCTTAGAGGAGAATGTCCGTGCAAGGGAGCCGTCTTGGCACAACTTCCTCCTTCGAGTCGGTAACGGAACTTGCAACAATTCGCGAGGCCACGTGACTATTCTTCCAGAACTCATATGTCACACTGACATCATTGATGAGATATGATGACCCACTATCGAGCCCGACAACACTGCTGATTTGGCAAGCAAGGCCATTTTGGCTCCTACAAACTTCAGCGTGTTCCATCTGAACAGAGCTATACTCGACCGTCTCATTGTCAGAAATCCGAGTGAAGTGCGCGTTTATGAAAGCATCGACGAAGTGGTGTAAGGTGATGAAAATGGAGGTACATACTTCCCCAGAGAGTATTTCAATACTCTCACACCCCCCGGCATGCCCCCTAACGAGCTAACTCTAAAAAAAAGGAGCAATCGTGATGCTCCTGCGCAATTTAGATATCAGGTCTGTGCAACGGCACGAGGCTCAGCATCGAGTTTCTGGGTTAATTTACACTCGGATGCAAATTCATCACAGGAGTCAGGCTCGGACAATTCACGATCATACCTCGGATCGATAACTCGGATTACTCAAGACTCCCCTTCCGCTTGAAAAGGAGACAGTTCCCTCTGCGGTTAGCTTTCGCAATCACTATAAACAAAAGTCAAGGTCAAACTTTTTCTCGACTCGAGTTGTTTTTGGAGAAGGACATCTTCAGCCATGGCCAGCTGTATGTCGCCCTGTCGAGAGTTTTTTTCTCTAGAAGCGATCAGTTGCGCATTGCTCCAGGCTCGAGTCAAACGTTTTCTTGATACGCAGAAGAAGGCAAACGATTACCTTGGACAAAAACACGACTCTTCCCCGATTAATTGAGGTTCCTGTGGTAATCGCTTTTTGACATCAGATTCACTATCATAATCATATCCATATATAAGTGCTCCACTTAAATTTTCCAGAATGCAATCACAATTCCCAACCAACTAGTACTACGGGTCGTATCCGCGGCCGAGTCCGCCGTTGACGACACCGACGACACCCCTATCAGATCGAAGAAACGTAATGACACCGAAAATCATGACGCGCTGTACTTATTCCAGCGACGGTAAAGACGTCCCCCGCGTGATGCTGCATTTATGGTCTCAGGGGAGGAAACTCAAAGCCGCGGATTTACGTCCCGTGCTGGACCATCACCCTATGATCGCCAACATAGTGTATAGTCAACATAGTCCATACCGGTAAACATGGTCGACGCAGCTCTCCCTACTTTGACCGGCCCGGTCCTGAAGATAAGCTTAACCCCAACCGGGTTTGCAACGCGACACCCAAGGACGCTAATTTGCTCCACCATACCCCCGCTAGCCAACTCTCGAGACTCGCTGAATCAAGACATGAACACGTACATGAAAGCCCTCATAGGCAATTGCGGCGCATGTACATTCTGCCTGAATCCGAGGAACGTCACCTTTGCTCGCAACAGCTTATGCGCTCTCAGCCGAAATTTTGGAGCTAGAGAACATAAGTTTCATGGCTGACTGAGTTCATGGACTGGCAAAAATGAAAAAGAGTCTCTCTTCCAAAAACCGTCGACATGCACGGCTACGAATTTTCACATCTGAATAAATAGTCTTGCTTACATGATAGACAGAATCCTTTTTTACTTAGAATCACCCATGACTCCGACGCAACGCCGCCGCAACTGTTTTCCTCAATGCTGATGAGTCTCTCTGTCCCAATCCCGAGAACTCCCAGGGCATTGGGAGGTGAGAGAACGGGGGCTTCAGCCGGCCAAAGGCCGGCTGGTCCTTCATGTTTAATGGTTTATTTCGATCAGATGGTATCATTATAATTATATGTATACATCAACCTTTCGATTCAGGCGCGAGTTGGCTCAGCGGATCCAGTGGTTCCACGCTCCCGTTTTTCGAGGAGGCGCTTCGTTGACTCCACGAGGAGAGATTCCAAGAGCCACTCTCTCGAGTCCGGCAAGGGTTCGGAGAACTCGACTCGGTTCTAAGGCCGAGCCGACGAATGGTTATCCTTCCGGAAGCTCCAACCCTAGTTCAGGAAGACAAAATGCCCGATGCAGCTCCTCAAACGTAGATCAAGTTGCGCGCTGGAAGCTACTCTGACTGAGATGATGACTTGATTTCTGCTTATACCTTCCTATTGTGAACCGAATCATCCTTCCGAATCTACTTATCTGTCTCCCGAATTCCAAAGATACCCTCATTGGGGAATACTCTCCCCGGGCCTGGACTTGTCGCACGCGATCGATCCGTTTTAACGTCCCCGTATCGGAGCTCTGCGCTATGCATCAGCTGATCGACTGGTCCATATGACTCCGCGGAAAGATCAGAGGGACTACTGTCGTGGATATTGTCCCGGAGTATCTCAGCAGAATCTCGCACAGATCTCGCCCTGTCTCCCGACAGTACACAGATTATAGCAGAGTGCCTGTAGCTGACCGGGACGATGTGAAGTAGATCTGGATGGTCGCGCGCCCGAGGTAACCGCATCACATCGGAGAAGGAGGTCATAGCCTCACTGTGTGGAGGACAGAGCGTGATCGTACCTTTGCTGGTGAGTTCAGAATCCTTCCTTCGGACCATCTGGAGGTGATATCATTCTCCCCGCGCGGAAAGAAAATCGGAAAGCACGGTTTCGAATCACGGAGCGAGTTTAGCCGCACCGGAAGAAAAACACGCGGGCGGGCACATTCCCTTCGAATCGACGAAACTTCTCGGTTCCTGAACCGGCTACCACATGCGAGACGAATTTCGCGCGGATAGAGAATCGATTTGCGCAATGCTGAAGGATTTCGTCGGGACACTATGGTCCTCTGTGAATCGAGGATCATATTTTGTCATCGTCCATCTCAACAACCGATTTGCCCTCTACTAGACAATGGACCGCCGGTTCAGACTCTGGACTTGACTTTCGAGCTGAGCGAGCGGCGATAGACCATGATGCCATTTTTCGCAGCTGAAATGCAGTAAGAGTGACGTCATTTACGGCGGACAACAGAGACTTTTGATTCGTTCGTCAGGTGCTCGAGTCTTGTGTATCTCGACAGTGCCATCGATGCATATTATCTCGCCGTGGAAAGCGTCCGATGCTATGAAGGCGCAGCGATTCCTCGTGGCTAGTCCATACGGGAATCCGAAGCGGTAGCATTAGGCTCCATGTGAAGAAAAAAGTCTCTGGTACTGCGCGTGCACGGTGAGAGACGACTGGTCGTGCAATGAGTGACCTTGCTCCTCAGAGCGGTTTCTCCACGACTCGTGCCTTCCGCCACCGAAAATCGCTCAACTCTCAGAAGAAGCGCATAGGTACAGACAAGGTTCGTTCAAACTCGAGAAAACTGTGTTGAGTCTCGGAAAATCCTTCAACTTTCAGAATCACTACGAAGAGAGTACTCGGCATGGCGTACCGCCAGGCAAGCAGCGCCCTTCTGAAGCGATTCAATGAACCGTCGGTGAGGTTCATCCACTTATCTGCGGCCAGCTCGAAGCAGGTTCCGCTGTCCAACCTCGAGAAAGACAAATACCTACCCTACGATAAGCTCTCCGCCAACATCGATGTCGTCAAAAAGAGATTGAACCGACCTCTGACCCTATCCGAGAAAGTTCTCTACTCTCATCTCGACCAGCCCGCGTCCGAGGAGGTCGTTCGCGGCGAGAGTTACTTGAAGTAGGCGTTCGATTTTTCCCTATGCTCGCATTGACGCTCAAAAGACTTCGAACTAATTTCCCTCCCCGAGAGCTCATATGGGAATATCAATTCAACGAAAATTCTCGCTTGCAGACTCCGACCCGACCGCGTGGCTATGCAAGATGCCACCGCTCAGATGGCCATGCTGCAATTCATCTCCTCGGGTCTGCCCAAAGTCGCGGTTCCTTCAACAATCCATTGCGATCATCTGATCGAAGCCCAGCACGGAGGCAGCCAGGATCTCGCCCGCGCGAAAGACATCAATAAGGAAGTGTACAATTTCCTCGCCACCGCAGGCGCGAAATACGGCGTTGGATTCTGGAAACCAGGATCGGGGATCATACACCAGATCATCCTCGAGAACTACGCGTTCCCCGGTCTGCTCATGATCGGTACCGATTCCCACACCCCGAACGGTGGCGGTCTCGGTGGTCTCTGCATCGGAGTCGGTGGTGCCGATGCGGTCGACGTCATGGCCGGTACGTAGGTCGCGGGAGAATATTCCCTCGAGTCAGACGTTGGCTCAATCAGCTCGATCGCCTATCATACATACATAGCTCCCACTCTTTCTCAGGCATTCCATGGGAATTAAAATGTCCGAAAGTCATCGGTGTTCATCTGACTGGTAAAATGTCTGGTTGGACATCTGCCAAGGACGTCATCACCAAACTCGCTGGTATCCTAACCGTGAAGGGTGGCACTGGCGCTATCGTTGAATATTTCGGACCCGGTGTGCAGAGTATTTCATGCACAGGCATGGGAACAATTTGTAACATGGGCGCTGAAATCGGTGCCACAACTTCGGTGTTCCCCTTCAACTCCCGTATGGCTGACTACTTGGCTGCCACGAACCGTACCGCGATCGCGGATGCGGCTTCTGAGGTCAAAGACAAGCTCTTGACGGCCGACTCCGGCTGCAAGTACGATCAGGTGATCGAGATCAACCTCGACACTCTCGAGCCACATGTCAACGGACCTTTCACTCCCGACTACGCTCACCCGATCAGCCAACTGGGCAAAGTCGCCAAGGAGAAGGGATGGCCGCTCGACGTCAAGGTCGGCCTCATTGGATCCTGCACCAACTCGTCCTACGAAGACATGTCCCGGTCTGCCATGCTCGCGCAGCAGGCTCTCGACCACGGTCTGAAATCGAAGTCTCTCTTCACCGTGACCCCGGGATCCGAGCAGATCCGCGCCACGATCGAACGCGACGGACAGGCTAAGACGCTAAAGCAGTTCGGAGGAATGGTGCTCGCCAACGCTTGCGGTCCTTGCATCGGTCAGTGGGACCGTCAGGATGCCAAGAAGGGCGACCAGAACACAATCGTAACGTCGTACAACAGGAATTTCACCGGTCGAAACGATGCAAACCCCCAGACCCACGCGTTCGTCACATCGCCGGAATTGGTCACCGCTCTGGCTATCGCTGGACGTCTTGATTTCAATCCATTGCAAGACGAACTGACCGCGGCTGACGGCACGAAATTCAAGCTCCAGCCCCCGGAAGGAGACGAGCTCCCTCGTGCTGGTTTCGACCCTGGAGAGGATACTTACCAAGGTCCCCCCAACGACGGCACCGGAGTCAAGGTCGATGTGGACCCGAAGTCGCAGCGTCTCCAGCTGCTTACCCCGTTCGCGAAATGGGACGGCGGGGATCTTCAAGACCTGGTCATCCTATTGAAAGCCAAGGGCAAATGCACCACTGATCATATCTCCGCCGCTGGGCCCTGGTTGAAATACCGAGGACATCTGGACAACATCTCGAACAACATGTTCATTGGAGCTATTCCCGAAGAGAGTGGAGAAGCCAACAAAGTTCAGAACCGTCTCACTGGGGAAAAGGGAGGCGTTCCCGATGTCGCTCGACAATACAAGGTGAGTGCCCACGGCTGTGATTTGGAGGCGTAGCGGCAATTGGGAACTTCCTTGAGAAGTCTAGGGTTCGTTGGTTCGTCATGGAATGCGTTTCTCTTCCAGGCCAAAGGACAGGGCTGGGTCGTCATTGGTGACGAAAACTACGGCGAGGGATCCTCCCGGGAACACGCCGCTCTCGAACCACGTCATCTCGGTGGTCGCGCTATCATCGTCAAGAGTTTCGCTCGTATCCACGAGACTAACCTGAAAAAACAGGGATTGCTCCCACTCACCTTCCAGAATCCTAGTGATTACGATAAGATCAAGTCCGATGACAAAATCTCCATAGTCGGACTCAAAGACTTCCAGCCAGGCAAGCCTCTCGAGTGCCACATTAAGCACAAGGATGGAAAGGTGGACAAAATCCACCTGAATCACTCTTTCAACGAAGGTCAGATCGCCTGGTTCAAGGCCGGATCTGCTCTGAACCGAATGAAGGAACTGAACGCCTAAGCGATTTGGGATCTTCGAATCGAGGAAAGCGACAGAGACGATCTTGATGAGTTTCTTGTTTCATTTTTTCTCCGACGGTGATATCCTGACAGCCAAAGCCTCCACTACTTTTGTTTCTGATAGTCATGTGTAACATAAGGAACGACGGAAAACAACTTCTGGCCCCTTTCTACGCCTCCGAAAGACTCTTTTCTGGCGAGTGGAAGCTTGAGCACGTGAAAATACCGGGAAAACGCGAGTTTGGCTGTCGAAAATCTTGAACACCTTGCCGGGCTTCGTAGTGTTAATTTTTATTGAAAGCAATAAACGGTTGCTCCAATTGAGAAGGACGGGAAGACTAATTATTGGCACTCGCGACCCATTCGACAACAGGAGGCCGCGGATAGTAGGAATGACGCCGGCGAAAATCATTGGTCAGAAACTGATTTGTTCGAGGACTCATTTATTCCGAATCGGGAGCGAATACCCGAACTTACTCGCCTGACTCCGTACTCAAGATTAGGAGAGTACCAGAGAGACTATTCATGCCAAACTAGATCGAAGGTCCAATGCTTACATCCAACAACGACGGGTGAAACCCGATTCCAAGACGAAGCGACTCTTTCCGCACCTTTATATGTGCATACGTTGTAGTAGGCGTTGAGTATTGTTCCATTTCTTGAGGCCCATCCTGTCTTGGCGCGTGAAGGGTTTCCCCAGTCAAGAGCTATCCCCATTGCAAACATCGTCTCACATCTGCGCTTCCATCGCTTCTCGGAGGCTTCATTCCGTTTTGGGTACGACCTGCACCAGTTGAGTGTTTTTGGCGACGTTGTCCCCTTTCTTATACATCACTTTCGAAACGATCCCGTCGCCGGAAGCTCTGATGACATACTGAAAGGTGAGTAATTGAATTGATCTGCGCGGTTCGAAAATACTCCAGTCTCATGATTCTGTGATCGGCCCAAGATCGGCAAAAAACGCTGTTCCGGTTCTCACCTCCATTTTCATCGCGATCATCACGACGAGAGACTGGCCTCTGACCACCTCCTGACCTTCGCTGACCAACACCTGTTCGACAACTCCAGGCATCGGGGCCACAGCACCGCCCTCGAAAACTCCGATTTTGTTGGCTAATTTAGCCATGTAGCTTGGCTCCGGTATATCGAACAAGAGAACGTCGTCCTCGGTGAATACACTGAGTCTACCGTCGTCGAATGAACATTTGAATGTACAAATTTCCTCAGCGAGCTCACAGCGAACATTCGCAACTCCCTCGGTATCACAGATCTTCATCTTGACTTCCTCAAGGAAACTACCGCATCGAACCGTGAAGCTATCCTTGTCATCACTGTGAGCGGTTATTTCGACCGAGAAGTCCCCATCACCGTACTTGAACTCAATTTTCTCGATGTGTTCCATATTGAGTCTGAAAAAATCCAACGAATTCCTTCTCCGCAGGAGACTTAGGGCAGACAAGGCGACCATCTTATCCGATGGCCTCGCGAAGCCCAGGAGAGATTCTTTGTGTTGAGGAATGAATTCCGTATGCACGTCCCCCGTTCTGAAGCTAGGATGAGAACATAGCTTCATCAGGAACGGAATATTCGTTGGCATGCCAGCGATGATGTAATCCCCCAGCGAGCGTTTGAGTTTCGCGAGAGCAGATTGTCGGTCGGAGCCCCAAACAACAAGTTTAGCGATCATCGGATCATAATGAACGCTGACTTCATCGCCTTCTTGCACCCCGGTGTCGACGCGAGCATCGGCAGGAGCCCTCAACTTCTTCAAGAAACCAGCGGCGGGCATGAAATTATTTTTCGGGTCTTCGGCGTAGATCCTAGCCTCAAACGCATGTCCCTTCGGCTCTATTTGTTCCTGAAGGAGTGGTAGCGACGCGCCCGACGCGACCAGTAGCTGCCACTCGACGAGATCGACTCCCGTGATCAACTCGGTGATCGGATGCTCGACCTGGAGCCGAGTGTTCATTTCCATGAAGTAAAACTTTTGCTGTGAATCCATGACGAACTCCACTGTTCCTGCCCCCACGTAGTCGACAGCTTTCGCGGCTCGAACCGCCGCTGCGCCGATCCGGCGACGAACCTCGTCCGAGATTCCAGGGGCTGGAGCCTCTTCGATTATTTTCTGATGGCGACGCTGTATGCTGCAGTCGCGTTCGAATAGGTACACGTGGTTTCCTGCGACATGGAAGAAGGTCCACAATGTGTGATGAGATAATACCCTCCAAGAAAGTTCGTTGGGGATTCGAGCTGGTAATGTCTTGCACAGACCCAGTAACTCACCGTGTTGGTCTCCGAAAACTTGAACTTCAACATGCCGCGGGTTCACCACGAATTTCTCGACCAACATGACGTTGTCTCCAAAGGATTTCATTGCTTCTCGTCGCGCACTCTCGAGCTGCGATTCGAACTCGGCCTCATTCATCGCGATCCTCATACCTGGACGGATAAGTCGAAATTCCGTTCGATGAATCATCTTTCCTTATCCGCGAGCTCGAAATCTACGACAAACTTCATCGGGCAAGGGAGCAATTCACCAACCGGCGAGCCTAGGATTCGAGATTAGTGTCTTTCTCCACCAATGAAAATTCATCCCGCATCTTCTCTTAGAAAAAGCGGGAGAGAAAGCGCTCTGGTCACAGATGCCATTTGAGATTCTCCACTCCTCAAGGAACGGTCCGTCCTGTACCGCAAACGGCGCGACGCTCTCTGAGGGCAGCCTCCCTCGCTCGTCTAGTCATGCTAGTCGGTGTATTCACCTTTTCCGCCACCGCCCCGTACAGCTTTCAGCATCACGGGAAAGCCGATTTTCTTGGCTTCTTGGAGCAAAATTGCGTCGTCTTGCTCCACTCCGTGGTAACCCTCTATAATGGGGACTCCGGCCTTAGCCATAATCTGCTTTGAAGTTGACTTGATCCCTGAAACAATAAATAATGAAAAGCTCTCTCAGCCAGCCAAATGATCGGTTGCCGGGGTATTCTGTTTCATGAATACGCACCCATGTCTCTTATAGCGTTGACTGGCGGTCCGACGAAAATCAGGTCTTCTTTTTTACAGAGCTCAGCGAATTCGACATTTTCCGATAGGAATCCATACCCAGGATGGATTGCTTTTGCGCCGCAGTGCTTCGCAACCTGGGGAAGTCGTCCTGCTCGTACTCCTCAATCTCTGAAGAATTATCCCATTTCGGCATTGGATGAGAGGAACACATTCGATTGGCAAACGAGAATTGTTCAGCATTCACCTCGATGATTTTGTCTTGACGAAGGTAACTCTCGGCCGCCGCAGCCGTTCCGACCCTGTAGGCTTCATCTGCTTCACGCACGTGAACCGAGTTCTTATCGACATCGCTGTATATGGCCACGGATCGGATGCCCAGCTTGCGAGCACTTCTGATGATCCTGCAGGCGATCTCTCCGCGATTTGCGATCAGTAATTTATCGATCGGGTGTTTGGTCTCCAAATCAGGCAATGACGAAACTCCACGACAAGATTGCAAGCGTATACCGAGACTGGAAACAAGCGGAAACAGCTCGAAAAATATTCCCCGGTCTCCGGTCCCATTCTACCCCCTTAGCACGAAACAGCTAGTTCGGAGACCCCTCACCCAAGATCAGAATATCACTTCGCGCTATGGGGCTCATGCGACCGGCCTCACGGACGGTCCCGACTCACGGACGAAGCGCCGGCTGCCCTCCCTATCAAGCGCATTATCTGAAGATATCATGGAGGACCATGAGGGAGCACTGCATGCATTGGTTCCGCAAAACCAGCCGGGGCACGGTCCACTGAGTTCATCGCTCCCCGGCATTCCAGACGCGCGGATGTGCAGCGTGACTGACGGAGAGGTGACGAAAGGTCTCTGATGTAAACAATGGGTGACGCTAGAGCGGATCGGATGCGCGGTTCATCCGACCAGACCGAACGTAGCGTTGAGCAGAGCGGTGTACGCGATTATCGCGGAGCTAAGAAGCGTTTTAGTGAAGACTCATCGAGATGATTTCTCTCCCGGTAGAGAAGAGTCTGGAAAAGCGCATACCTTTTCCTGAGTTGGAATAACCTAATGTGTGCGGCCATTGCTGCTTGCCAGCCACATCTAAGACGTTCATACGGCTTTCGGTGGTATCAGCAGGAGCCAGTAGCAGATCTCCCGCCGACCTCGTGACGTCAACATTCTCACAACGCATGCTCAGATTTCTATCGGGACATCGGATTCGCAGAGTGAGTAGCGACAAGACTAATCGTCGCGAACCAGCAGGATACTTAATGGGTAAGACGCCCACAGCAGTCCCGGAGATCCCGAACCTATCGCGGCCTAGCGGAGTGCCCGAGCGTTGTATGAATGAGATGGCGCCACGTTCAAATCCACGAGATTGGAAGGGACATGCCATGTATACTGACTGAGTGAGCCTCCGCTCCTACGTCTCATCAGCGTCCGGCGACTCCAAAGCGATCGAGGGACAGAATTTTCCCGAGTTATTCCGCATTCTCCATCGGTCTGTTTTCCTGCGACCTCCAATTACAAAGATTTATCATTATTTGAGTTTCACACTCGATAAATTTTGCTCAGCCTCGATCGCTTCGCCCATCGAGCTTCCTCCGGGGACATATCCCGAAAAATGTGTGTGGATCAACCTCCTCCATTTGACTTGTTTTCTGCACAACGAGTCCCATTTGCAATGATTCCCCCCTCGAGGTCGGCATACGGCACGAGTTCTCATGATTGCTGGGTTCATTCGCAATACTCTCAAAATAGATCGGAAGACAAAAGCAGCCAATGTCGGACGCATACTCCGAAGAGAGCGGACTGAACTCATCGAAATGCCGACCGTACAACAGGTACCAATGCTCCGTCTGGAGCAGCAGATGGAGCGGAGTAAGGAGCGCGTACAGTATTCGTCTCGTGTTGTTTCAGACAAGCAACGTTCTCCCGGGCAAACGGCAACTCGAAGCCCCTTTCCCGTGGCGCCAGACAGGACGGCGGCACCCGTCTGTCTGAACTCCTGAGTCATACCCGGGGCCAAGCCCACTCGCTCGGGATCCGGTGGAACAGGCGGTGCGACGGGATCGTCTTGGTCGTCAGTGGAAGAATTTGTGAGTTTCCGAGTTGAAGTGAATCAACATCGCGGATCGTCGACTCTCAAGCGGAGGCTGTGTGCGATGGCGACTTGGGCAGTTTTCGTGACTGCTCAAGTCGCCATCGGGAGAGGAGGCAGAGCCGATTCACGACGGTGAAGTAATCGCCGCGCTTCAAGAACCCTCGCAGCTCGACGGCGGTTCATCCCGCCGCAGCAGGCGCATTTCGGAAGATCTTGTGAACGTAGAAGTGATTTGTTCGGACGGTTTTTTCCAAGTTCCTCGCTTGGAACTCTCTGTGCCGCTTTTGTTGAACCGTGACAGTGTGAAATGAATTTCATCACGACCGAAAGCAGGATGACTTGCCGTCGAATTTAAATTAGTGAGAGGAGGTGAGTAAAGGAAATTAGAATTGGAATTTCGGGAGTAATTGATCGCTCCGGTGTAAATAATGAATCAGGTGACTTGCTCGTGAGCTAGAGAAAAGTGACCGTGATCCCACTTTCTTGCCTCCCTGATGGAGCATTACTCCGGCAGATGGCTCGCTCAGCTGACAGCACAGGTTGCCGCTGGAGTAGTAGAGACTGACTATGAGGAGGGAACAGTGCCAGCATGTATCAGACCGCTCAAACAGAGGCCTGCTTCACCGGGTACTCTGGCGAGGAAAGAGGTTCAGAGATGTGAATATGCACTCATCGATAAAAAAAAACAATAGCGCCATGCTATTCCAAACCGATTTCAAATTCCTGCTTTCGATTCGAGGAAAAAGGAAGATATGATCAGAGATCGATCGGACATTTCCGCATTAATCTGCGTATTTTATACAGTTTTTCTCGTTCGAAATGATTTTCTTCTGGGCATTCTGGTTGCAGTTTCTAATCGAAAAAGCGGAGGATCCGATATCCGATTCACGTCTCCGGGTGGGAAGGTTGCGCGATTGTATATCTAGAGCTAATCCGGCACAGAATGGGATTATGCATCGGGATTCGCTCCTGTCGGAGCCAACCTTGCGACGCAGCTCGGGGTTTCGGGATAGCTCTCAATCACATGCGGGATCGATCGCAGGGTGCTGAGGCATGCAATACCGGATCAGGAACATCAATTCAATCATGATGCAACGATTCCCCATCACCTTCGGTACGACTCCCCGACGATGAGTTCCGATTACTGATAGTATAGGCTGTTTACTCGTTTCGACTGACACTCGTCTTCATGGTCCACCTCGATCAGAGCACTTAACGTGGCTAAGAAAACTACTATCATTTCACAGAGAGCACCTTATCTGTTCCGTGAGGATAGCAGATGTTCTCAGCTCCCAGTGGAGACCGCAAGATGATTTTGAGTGTCCACGACATGAAATGATGGGAAGGTGCACAGCGTAACAGAGACTGAGAAACCCCATATCTATCAGCGATCTGCCCTCCGTCACGTCGAAGATCCCCTAGAGCGTATCTCTTCCGATTCGGATTAAATTCAGAAAAATTCGTCAGATGCTTCAATGAATGCTCACCGCGCCCCATAATTGAGAAAACTCGAGCAGGTTTGCGGTCAACCTCCAAACTTTCATTGTGTATCCTGTGAGACTCCGAGATCGCACCCCTATTGAATTTCATGGTATAGGGGAGTCATCATCGCGACCGACGAAACGGCTAATATTCCTTCTGAATCGATTCGGATCAGAAATCGTCACGCTAGAGCATGCTTCCAAACTTACGTTTTGTCGGAATCTGACGACCGCCGGGCCGTGTTTTTCGAGCTCTAGAATGAGACCGGAAATCCATTCTCAAGAGTCGTTGGTGGAGACTCAATCAGTCCGGGGTTCCTGATAAAGAAATACACTATAGAGCGGATGGCTTTCCCAGATGAGTAAGGGAAAGGTCGGATATCACCACAGTGCAAGACTCGGGCTCCGTTCGACCTCTTGGAACCCAGTCTCTCTGGATCCGAGTCCGGAAACCGATGGGAATGTAGCGATGGATCCGGCGCCGCATATCTCGAGATTGGAGTGCGCAATCCCATTTGCGCGCCGCCTGTTCTCGAGCCCGTCGTTTTCGTCCGAGTTTGGAACATGAGACTGTTACCTTCTCAGCTTGGCACCGAGCTGCCTAACAAACGATCAGCTGCGAATCAGGCTGGGCTGCGAGACCGTCAGTCCGGCCGGCGGCTTCCAACAGATCATGTTCACCTGTGGGCCCGCTCGTTCGTCTACTAGGCAGCCGAGCACTTTCAGTCCGTTCGTGGTTCCAGCCGGTGCTCCTAAAGTTGCTGTTCTCGGTGGATCTATTGTGGCGTTTTTCCGCTTCGTGTTGTAACTCCCGCTGCCGGGGAGGGCATCACCGTATCTGCGCAATCTCACCTCTGACTTCTCTGTAAACATCGAGGCGATTCGAGATGTTTAGGCAAGTGAGAAATGTGGGCCAGGATGTCGCAGTCCTCAGGAGTTTCCACAGCGGAACTCCTCCTTACCTCCGTCTTTGTTTGACGATCGGCACCCCCTCCTCATGATCTAGCATTATTCCCTCCAATGAGAGGACGAGGTAGATGAAAGCATGAAAAACACATTAGAGAGGAGATCGGAAAAGTGCTGGACAGTCTGATTCGGAGGGTTCGGATCCCACCGTCATCGATCTCGATCGACACCAAGCTGTCAGGCGACCGAGAATGATGACCGACTCTGCTCGATAGCACTGAGCTTGGTCTTTAGATCATTATTTTGTCGTGGATTGGAGTTTTTTTTCTTATTCTCAGTGGTATCTAGTTTTTCCATGAAATAATTAGCTGGCTTGCCGGTCAGAGCTGATGTGCGATGATTTACGGGTAGCAAGTCTCGCTCTGCCAACTGCGAAACAATCGATACGCTGAGTATACTTACTGGAAGTTGCTCGGCATGGATCGCAGAATTCAATCACCGGCGAGTTCGGGACTCCGATCGACGACTTTCCATGATCAGCGTACTCCGTCTATTACGGCATCTGTAAGAGTGTGTTGGCGAATCACGACGAGTCCAGGCGTGCGACTCGAACTCTTCTCCCGAGGGCTGATGGAGGAGCTTCATAGGTTCGCAGTCAAATCTCCGGATACGTGCTAGTTATAGTGATTGTACCTCCTAAATTGCTCCGTATCGGAAGCCACGGCAAGATATCATTTGACCCTCTCGATGGATATAGACAATCTAAATCCCCTGATGGCTCGATTATTCGGTAAGCATGAGTCATGGCATCAAGTGAGATAAGGCCGTGTTCGACGACTCTTGACCATGGCTTGTCACGCCTTCGTTCGGTTGACACGGTTATTGGAGACCGAGTCTTTAAAGTCCAGAGGCGGAATGACGTCATACGTAACAGATTGTCGGCGAGCTACGATCGTCGTTGCGTGCGATCGACCCCTGCCTGGACGTGAGCTAGGAAAACTTGGGCGAGAAACCGCTGAAGGTGAGGGTCCCGCTCGTTTAGGGAGCTGATACCGTTCGGCGATGTCGAGCCGTGTTCCTTCACACCGTGATTCTCTACGGATCGATTTCATTTTGCTGTCCGAAACGTAGAACCGACCTGAAACGCTGCTGAGGGATTCCCGACCCGTCGGTATGCATCAATCAACGATATCTGTTCAATCAACGAAAGCTCGGGAGACTCCGAGTGGAGCTCCGCCCTATCCAGGGAGCGAACAGGGAAAACTCGGTTCCTTTTTCGGAAAACCCGCTCCCGCAGATTGCACGGAAGGAGCCAAGCACTGTAAGCACGCTGAATTCTCACGTGCCGCTGATCGAGCGCTCTAAATACTACACGCGAACGTAATCCGAGGGTCCCGAGTGAGACTGAGATCAACCGGCAGTTCAGGACGACTCACTCTGGTTCGAGGCATGAAGCTCAAATGCGCCTCCGAATGTTCTGGGTCCCGTGATTGAGATACACTCCGCGAGAATTTGTTCTTTCTTGAGCTCGTCGCTCTGGTGCGGCCCCGCTCTCCGAATCCGATGCTCAATGCAGCTCTCGCGAGACTGCTCTTGGTGAACCAGCCGTCTCTCTGATCTTTAATTCGTGAACTTCCCTGTTGCAGCGTCAGGCGTCTCCTCAGCGTGGAGAAAACCGTCAAGTCCTACAACACCATGGACTTGAGACGCGAGAACTCTGACGGATCAGAGGACGTCGAAGAGTTTGAAGAACTCGAGCTGGAAGACGATGAGGAGGACGAGAATCTACGGAATTCGCCTCTGGATACAGATTGTATGCAGTTTCTCCCCGATTATTGCGAACTTCGCTCATTCTGAGCGACTCCTGATTGCCTGAGCTTTCGGTGCCGATTGTATTTCCTTATCAAAGAAATCCAAGGCGGAATCGTTGCGTCCCATGGGTAATAATATCGCTTATGTACCGACGCAGGTGGTATAGCTACTCATCTTTCAACACATTTCGGAAGTATACCTTTCGCTCGTATCTACGACTCGTCTCAATCAGTCACCGATTCCTCGGATGGCTTCTTCGTGCCGGGCGTTCCGATGTGTTTTAAATTATTGGGATTCGAGCGAGATCCGAGACCAAGTCACATGGTGCACCCGAACTTGTGAGTTGAGTAGCCGGTCGAGTGTTCCTAACAGGCGATTGGGCATAATTAATTATTATAGATGGACGCCCCGAAAATTCTCATTCCGATGCTGCCGGGAAATGCGATCCGGCAAGCGATGTGCGAAATCGTCAGAAACCTGGAAGTACCTAAGATCTTACTTTCCTCCAGATATGTGATAGAAGTTACTCATGGAGATTTTGTGTGGGTGCTGAAGAAACGATACAAACACTTCCTGGAATTGCACACCATCCTGAAACTGTTCAGAGCGAGCTTGGCGCTGCCCCTTCCGAACGAATCGTGAGTTTCGTCTGAAATCAGGATTTCGAGGATATATCGCCTAGGTTCCCGCACATCTGTATAGAGGCTGATCCGCCGGTCAAGTCGGTTCAACGGAGAATAGTTTCACTTCATGCTCATATGCGTTGCGTCATGCTAATCCTACAGGCATCAAATGAGGAGGAAGAGTTTTTTCGATGATAGAGCGAAACGCAAGGAGGTCCCTCAGTTTCCAAAACGTCCGGAATCGATACTGTCGTCGGCTCAAGTTCAGGCTCGTGGCGAGCAATTAGTCTCTTATTTGAACAAAGTTGTCAAGGTTGCCAATTATCGGAATCATCCAAAAATGGTACGACTTCAGTCATATGAATATATTTCTGGCTCATCATCATTCAATGATAAAGCACCTGGATGCAATAATAAGTGCTTGGAAAATTATTGCCGCTACGGTTCTTTCCAGACTGAGTTCCTGGAAGTTTCCCCATACTCATTTCTGAACTCCACTGGTCCCAAGGGCAAGGAAGGCGCAGTCAGTAAACGAGCTGGAGGACACAATCCCAATTCCTGTTTCATTTATATGAAATCCGTATGGTATAAAATTTGCAAACGGTGGAGAAGACGCTGGTTGATCGCGAAGGACACGTACATTCTGTACATTCATCCGAAAACCGGGGCTGTGAAATCAGTGATTCTCATGGATGGACGGTTCCGAGTTCATGAAGATGGGCGTCCGACCGGCTCTCGATCGGGTGTGATCATATCGAACTTGTCCAGGGAATTGTTGATCGACGTCTGGACGAAACGTCAGAGGATGGAATGGGTGAAGCACATCGAAGAACTTGTCAAGACTAGGGCGAAGGATTTCGTCGCTGAGAATCGTCACGGAAGTTATGCCCCTGTGCGCAGTCGGACCTTAGCGCGATGGTGAGCAGCCGTGCCTCGCCTATTCCGAGCGTACGCCACGAAAGACGAGCTTTGATAACGTATCACATTTGCCCCCTTTCCAGGTATGTCGACGGCGCCATGTACATGAGAGCAGTGGCTAATGCAATTGAGAACGCCAGGGAAGAAATTTTCATCACGGACTGGTGGCTTTCGCCCGAATTATTCCTCAAGCGATCGCACAATAAAAACAACGAGGATTGGAGACTAGACCTACTGCTCCGGCGGAAAGCGGTGAGAGAGAAGCTCGAGGATTTGCGAGGATTGTATTGTATCGGATTTACATATTCTCCACGACGTTCGAATGGAATATTCCTGATCGGTAGGAGGAATAATATTCACAGAGCAGCGGCGTGCGCATTTTCATCATGTTGTACAAAGAAGTCAGCTCAGCTCTTGCCATCAATTCACTGTATTCGAAACAGAAAATCAGCACTCATCCGAACATAAAAGTATTCCGACATCCCGATCATGTCAATGCAGGTTCGTTTACATCTGACCGCCTCGACTCCACGTCGGATTTCCGCTCAAGTTTCCAGACGTCTGTTATAGAATTTCAATGACCCGATGCCTCTCCATGCTGTGCTAGTGTTCTATACTGTTTTTTTTCTTCCACGAACTTACAGCTGTTTACTTGTGGGCTCATCACGAGAAGCTGGTTATTGTGGACCAAAAATACGCATTCCTCGGAGGAATTGATTTATGCTATGGACGTTGGGATGACGCCGGTCATAGACTGACCGACCTGGTTCCCGACGAGAACAAGCGCCAAGGAGTGTGCGATGAATCCGATGTCGACGAAGTAGATGGTACGTCCCAGAGATGCCGATTTCGGTCGTTTAGCAAGCCATGGAACGACTCTCAGGATCTCGGAAGCGACACGAAATTCCTGCTGCAAAGGGGATCTGTTGCAGGGTACATGGTGAAGCCTTCATGCTGCGTTTCGGAGACTCGCTTTCTCAATGTTGCCGGACCGCCGCACAACTTCGAGCGCTGTCTAGTGGTGCCTGAATATTTCGATCAAGCCGAAGGGAAAATTGTGAACAGTAAATCTCCGAGTGACAGAGTCAGTCGACGGCTGATGCTGCAGAGGGTAAAAGCCAAACTGAAAGCATTGAGGGTTTGTGTTGAGTTTGTTCAGTTATTTTTATGTGACGCTCATTGATAAGTTCGTGGGGTCTCACATTTCTCGAGCAAGAGCCATGAGCGATGTCCACTTTCCGTTGGCGTTCCATCCCCCTGAAGGAGCTAGTACGAGAGGGCGAGGCTCTCGAAGTAATTCTATCGATCCGGCAGGCATTCAAACATCTGCACTACCTGGAGGGCTCCACGGCCGAAATTATGTATGAGGATCCGCACTCCGGGTATTTGAACTCTCAATTTGAATGGTGAGCCCCTCCATTCCCAGGGAATCCATATGCACGAAACGAGCCTTTTCGGAGGCAACCCCTGATCGCGATGACGAGTCTTTGCAAATATTAATTATTAATTATACATTATAATTTCATTATCAATATTGAAATTCTCCATCAGCTTGGAGGAGGAGAAGCTCGAGCCGTTTGTGACGGACGGGACGAAGTATTGGATCGGCAAAGACTACAGCAATTTCATATATAAGGATGTGACGAATCTCGAGAAACCCTTCGACGGTGAGTGCATGGATACGCTGGAATTCCGTGTGTGCTGTGATGGAACCTCCCTCTGGTTCGACTTGACCCCTTGTAGATCATATTGATCGGACCAAGATACCGCGCATGCCCTGGCACGATATCGGCGCCGTGGTGCTCGGCCGAGCGGCCAGGGACTTGGCGAGACATTTTATTCAACGATGGAATTCCATCAAGATCCAGAAGGCTAAGAAAGCGAAATCATATCCGTGGCTTATTCCCAAAAGTTACGATTCGGCAGAGGATATTGAAGTGAGTTGTTTCCCAAGTCGATCGGCCGAGTTGAGACAATATCACCTGGAAATCGATCCATTGAAGTTATCAGCGGGCTCACCGCGACTCCATCCATTGCAGGGGGAGAGGTGTGAAGAATTGTTCGGCAAGCTCTATCGGTGCGAGGTTCAGATTCTCCGATCGGCCTCCAGTTGGTCGGCGGGGATTTCTGAGACCGAGAACTCTATTCATTCGGCTTACGTCGACCTGATACTCAAAGCGAAACATTTCATCTACATTGAAAACCAGTTTTTCATATCGCTTCAATCGCCCGACAATATTGTCTACAATGAGGTCGCTGACGCCTTGTTTACTAGGATTGTCGGTGCTTTCAAGTAAGAGTCCTTAAGATTCACGGCGACTCGACAGCGCATCGGTTTTCCGAAGTATTCGGCGACTGCGCGAATCATGGTCGCTGATGAGCTCACTCTCTCGCTATTCTAGGGCGAAGGAGAAATTCCGAGTGTACATTGTCCTTCCGCTACTGCCCGCATTCGAGGGAGAAGTGGGAACTCCAAGCGGAGTTTCAATCCAGGCGATCACACACTGGAACTACAACTCATTATGTCGCGGCGAGTACTCTCTCCTAGAGAGACTCAAAAGAGAAGGTTCGTTAGGACTCAACAATACGGAATCGAGTTTCCCCCGACGTTCAATGGAGTAATCCTAGAGATCATTTTCAGTGGACGATCCGAAAGAATACATCGGCTTCTATGGCTTACGGAAGCATGATATGCTGAATGGAATCCCGGTGACTGAACTCATATACGTTCATAGTAAGCTTATGATCGTGGATGACGTGCAGGTGAGTGAGGGACGGCATCTTGAACATTTGGCGCAGTCCACTCGTGCGTTCCCAGGGGCTCTCCGATCTAGCGTGTCGCATCTTAATCGCGCGGGTCGGTGGACACGACCTAGCGATTATCCACTGAAGTCTTTCCCTGATCGAGATAATATATTTGATACTCTCATCGTTTTCCAGGCCATAATCGGATCTGCGAACATAAACGACCGATCACTCCTTGGCGAAAGGGATTCTGAGATCGCTAAGGTTGTCAGCGATCAGCATTTTCTGCGCGCGACATTCGACGGCAAACCGGTGAAGGCTGGTTTGTACGTTTCGTCGCTTCGGAGATGGATATTCAGAGAGCATCTCGGTATCAGAGATGTGGAGGATCCGGTCGCTGACAGTTTCTATTCAGACGTGTGGAAGAAGATCGCCCGGAGAAACACTGAAATATTCGAAGAGGTATTCAAACCCTTGCCAACGGACTGCGTGAAAACGTTCGCCGAACTCAGAGCCTACAGTCGCGTTTCGCCTCTTGCCATTGAGGACCCCTCTGCGGCACTTGAGAAATTGCGAGACGTCCAGGGGCATCTCGTCGAGTTGCCCGAGAGATTTTTAGAGGACGAGAATTTGACACCTGCGCCAACAACCAAAGAGAGTCTCATGCCGACGAGATTGTGGACCTGAAGGGAGGTTTCTCAGAACTCTCTACCTATAATCGAGACCCTCGACGATCCAATCTGCTGTGTAATATATTATCATGACGACTCATATATGACTGGGGATGATTACATAGATCCCTTAATGCGACCCGCTTCCGGCGAGTGCGTATTCAGAAAATGGCATTCATCACTTGGGCCTTCGGCAGGAACTGCTAATCAATGTCCAGTTATTGAATTTCGGGATTTGTTGCATCACGTGCGAAAACTTCCTTTGAGACTGTTTTGAGCGCTGGTTTTAATCATGAATGCCTGTTCATCCAGAAATCCCTTGTACATACATATATTTTGAATTTCCGATTTCCTCTATCTGAATAGGGGATCTTGATTTGCCGCGATGTTATCGATTGTTCTCATTGAGAAGTTTTATTGAAGATCGTGTTCTCGTGTGACTGAATCGAAGAATCTTGCTATCGAATAAATTGAGTATTGTATATGAACGGGTTTCTGTTCATTTCTCGCTCAATTCAACAAGATCTTGGAATGTCCCTGATGAACGAACGCAGCTATTGAATCCGAGCTCGAAGACCATCGGTATCGAAGAGTTTTCGGGAAGAGTATGAATCTTTCGATAGCCCAGACCGGCCATGGGAAGATCTCAGCTCTGTTGACGAGCATAACCAGGCATCACCTTCTCGGTACTCCGTGTCCATACTGCACGCTTTTTCGGAGATTCGAGAAGAAACCACTCTCCTGGAGCTCGAATGTCTCCAGTCTTGACCCCGATGATATGAGTACGATCCGTGTATCGCTTGAAATTCCACAACGAGCGACCACGTCTCTTCTTTGACGAGAATTCGACGCTTATTTCCGCCAGACTTACCCTAAGTCTCCGCTGAGTCTAGATTCGATTCTTCTGGGAAGAAGAATGCCAGGACTATCCGAACCTCTGTTTCCTCGCTCCTGAGCAAACTCCGTTTATACCCTCGGGGCCCTGATGAGCAATGAGAGACTCGTTCCCCTAGAAATAGGTTGTCCACCCCCTCCGAAAATTAGCATCCGCCTCCCTTGGTGACTTCTATCACTGACTGCATTCTGAGGGATACCAAGGCTCGCGATGGGAAAGGGCGTCTCTTGGAGATTTCCAGCGTCAGTATTCTCGCGAAGCATCCGGCAAAGATTCCCGGGCTTTCTGGATCTGGACACCTCTGGCATACGAACGCCTGCTGCAGGGTCAGCAGAGAGGTATTCCCTGCTCCTCGGTCGATGATGCGTTGGAAACTATTCAATGATGTCGCCGAAACCTGGAGAGCAAATAGCGTTAACCCGCTGTTCGCTCGCTATCCTCCTGAACTCCCAGCACACAGACAATCGCTTGCTTAAGCGTTCGAATGACAGAATGACGGTAGTAATGCATGGCCATTCCTCTGTGACTCGGAGAGGACCGCCCCGGACCCCGAATCCGTATGAAACTCATCGGTGTGTGTTTCCGAAGCTCGACATGTCCCGAGTTGTTCTCGGCAATCGAGTCAGACATTTCATTCTTCGAGGCCAAGCGTTCCTCTGGGGAGTGATCGGTGATTGGTTTTCGGGGGTTTGGTGTTGCCGCAGCGATCGCTTCGGCTCCGATTCTCCCCATTCGCTTTTCTCATTCGCAGCTCTTTCGCGTAGACACACACATATTTTCCGCTTTCGCGCACTCAGACGCACTCATGTACACATAGGAGGAGCGCAGACAAGCCAGAGGAAGAAACAATTGTGAGCGAAGGCAATCGTTCCTTATAGCTCTGTTCGCTCGCTCTGAAGCCTCGATCGACAGCCCCTCGGGGAGTCGTTTGATTCTCGACAATGATCGAACGTTTGGCAAACGTTGATGAGTTAACGAGCGAGTTTTGCCCGGCCGGAGGAATCACACTCGTCTTCTTTCGATGGGAGTCCTTTCTCCGCAAGATCTCTATCGAACCCTATCATCGTTCGGTAAGCGGAAATAATCGAGCTCGAGCTCAAATCAGACCGGCAATCGTTTCCAGACCGATCAACAACTCTCCTCGAGATGCGGATTGAGAAAAAGAATACAACTCGTAGCAGTTTTTTGAGACACTTTATGTACATTTTTACACAATTATAATTTATTCGGGGCGCCGAAGGATTTGTCCTGGTTGTCATGCCGGTCCTTCTCGCCATCAACCCTCTCGATGGATTACCGAAGCAGAATGGGTCGATACCTAAGGTAGTTTCGCTTTCGTTCTCCTTGAATAGATCTTATCGGAATTGAACTACGTTTTTCCTAAGGGCAACCGACGCGCTTCTCGGAACAAGGGCGCTCCTTCGCCGTCACAGTGCACAATTGTTTCATAATTACTTCTACAAAGAAGTCTTATTGAATACGTATTTGGTTAAGTCACGGAAGATCGAGATCCTCGAGAGCCTGTGCAGACCCTCCTCCGGAGCTTCCTCTCCTCCGTTGAGGGTCGCCACCCAGAGGGAGTTCGTAATCTTCCATCCGTCGTGTCATGCTGTACGTTGCCGAGGAAGAATATTTCCTTCTGCGATCAATAGAGGCTTTCACGCTTCAAAAGGTCGTCGGGCGGAGGTTGTCTCTCATCCGGCCGCGGCATCAATAATATCGGGTGGTAGGAATTGGCAAGCACGTTAGGATGCGGGTGCTCTACTATGGCCGAGATCTGATGAGAGAGCGGATGATGATCTAGAGCAGACGGAGGCGCATTCGGATGACCCTGGTGACCGAGTTCTAAGTGAGGAGGATATTCATCAGCCTTGATCTGCGGGAGGCAGCCGGGATCCAACGGAGAGCCGAGGCCTTCGTGCATACTCGTATCGGAACCTTCGCCCTTCCGTTTCTTCTCCTGTTTCCGGTCCTTCGCTCGTCGGTTCTGGAACCAGATTTTCACCTGACGTTCCGAAAGATCCAGCGCTGCGGCGAGTTCAGCTTTCCTCCGGATCGTGATATATTTCGAATGGTAGAATTCTTTTTCGAGCTCCAGCCGTTGGTGATCGGTGTAGACTACGCGGTACTTGTCTTTCGTTCGCGTTTTACCTGAAAATGAAGAATCAGGCTAAACTACCATTCCGAAGCTAGAAGGCAATAGTTAAGTCAACAGACTTGTTGAGCTCAAAACACCCGAAGAGCTCTGAAGGAAACGCCGCGCCGCTCTGGTTTCGAGCGGGACGCTTTTGTTGCTTGTCATCGTCCCGATCGGCATCGGAGCTCGTATCGGCAGAGACAACTTTGAATCTTTTTGCTTCTGTCCGCCCACAATCTTCCCCTGATTCGCGCTGACCACAGAAACTACAGACCCAACAACGGTGGGCTAACAACCTGCGCCTGTCTTTTGTTGTTCGCCGGAACCAGCTTCAGGATGCTGATACCACAGCAAGATCCAAATCCGGACACCAGACCCGAGAGCGATCCGCACCTTCGAAAACATTGGGTGTCCCACGATTTGGGATCTCAGCGGAGAATGTAGAAGTTACACATTTCTCAATTGGGCAGAACAAGCTTCCACAAATAATGAGTAGGTAAAAAATTGATCTGAATGTGTATCGAAATCCGGCGCCAAGAAATCAAGGGGAGACTTTCGAGTCGCTGATGTGCCATTCCTGGCTTCCGATTTCGGAAGCTAATTCACAGGAAACACCGAGAGATTTTTTTTGACACCGGAATGACTTCCGCGCGGAATTCCGGTTCATACCCCAACGTACGACTTTTCCTACGACGATTTCGTTCACATGGAATTCCCTCGCTAGAGACGAGCTGCGGTAGAATCACCGTGATCGGAGCGTCAATGTGAACTACTCCAATCTACGGGGTACCACTCCAGTCTAACTGTCTCTACGGGATATTAGAGAGGGGTAATTATTAACGTCCCGATTCTGCTTCGGAAAAAGATGAATCGAGGCGTGGCATAACCAGCAGCACGAAGCAACTTATGCGGCAGGGGGGGGCTCTGCTGCGAGGAGCTTCTCCTTATCGACGAGCCGTCCGACGAGCAGATGGTTGCAGATGTCGAGAGCAAATATTGAATTCGGGACGCGAAACGATTGTCATTCGAGACATCCAGGTGGAATTGAAATTCGCGTAGGCTACCGACTTGGCGGCATAATCTCTCGTCGTCGTCGTCTTCGACGAGTCGCCCCAAAGGTTCCTTCGATATCGCTGTCGTCGCAGCGGCGTCGACGCTGGATCTGGTGCCTGGGATAGTGAGCGCATATGTTATCAGTTCACCTGCGCTGTCTCGCCGTTTCCTCGCCGCTTTCCGACTTGTCTCGGTAGCAAGCGCCGTCGTCGCGGGCACCTTCGGTTCTGCGGTTGCCTACCCCGACGATATCTCGTCGTTGTTCAGTCAATAACTTGTGGTCGTTCGGGGTGGAAAAGGTGTTGAGAGGATGCCACCAGAATGGGAGACCAAAGTTGGACGGCCGCTGTTTGCCAAGAAGCAGCGGCGACAGCACTGACAGCAGCGTCCGTAACAAGCACACAATAGAGCCAGATGTGGGCAGGCTTACGGTAAGGTCGCGAACCAGCCAAGTGGATAGCGTTTGAGTAAGGCGTCTTTCGAACGATTAGTCAACGGGTTGGGGTGTTTGGCAAAGCGCTACCGACCCGGAGACGACCAGTCGCCAGGATGGAAACGTCGAGCACTGGAACGGTCGCATGAAAAGCGACGGGCATAGAGAGAGGATCGCAAGATTCAGGTGATTCGAGACCATGCCTAGTAGACAGGCGCCGAAGGTGTGGTTTGTGAGAGACTACTCGCCGGCATTCAAGCTCAGCGCAAAGGAGCACTGTCGGCTGACCGATGAATGAAACCTCTAGAGACAATCGGTCGCGGTAGATTGATTGAGGAATGAGCCCGTCCGACGGCTGAGATAAGAGCTCCGTCATGCCGTCGACGATCCGCACCGCTCCATGTTTCCGTGGGAGTGAAAAGTGTGAGAAAATTGGGATCGGCGAATTATTCTAACTAATCTCGACGCTCTGGAGCAAGTGTTTTCTGGGTGTGCGAGCGTGTTCGTCTAGAAGCGAACAAATAGAACCTACCGATTACTCCTGGATAAGGCTTTTTCTCTCTGGCTTGTTTCGACCAGTCGCCCTTGGCGTTCTGCGGAGACAAGCTCTCACAATCGGATTTGGCACTTTCGCTTTCCAGGGCGTCTTCCATCTGACTCGAATTCGATCCTCCAGCACCTGGTGCACCTTGGGATGGGAAAGACATTGTCTAAACTCGTATTTTCGAGGAAATGACACCTAGCTATAACTCATGGAGGAGCTCGTGTAGGAGCATCCGCACATTCTCATGAGGAACACATGGACCCTCCCGTCGGGAACTAACCTGGAGAGCAAGAATTCGGTGGCAGGGGAAGGCTCCCGTCGGGGAGCGGTGGATGATATGGTTGGAAACCTGACTGAGCTGCTGTCCATTGTCTATGATGGTAACTTGCTGTCAAATTTCAAGAAGATTGAGCCGAGTTAAATACTGTGACTGCTCTCTACTTCAGCCCCGAATCGGGGCAACTATTACGGATAATGCTGAGAAGTAGCCTCACCTAGGGGTGACTGAGGTGAAAGAGGTGAACTGTTGCTGGTTTGGTTGAAAGAGTCCGTCGGTGTGTTTCCCGCCGATAATAGACCTGGAAAACAATTCGACTTACTTGCATGTCTATCATGAAGCTCCTCGCTTGTGGCTGCCTCACATAACTCGATTGAAATAATTATCGATTCCGACCTATTCCTAAGTAGCTTTCTCAATTCCGTCCGCGAGAGCTGCGCAGCCGGCACTGGCGCAGTACCTAATCATGTCGTCATTCCAGGGTGGTTCGCTTTCTCTCAGCGATGGGTTCATTTCGAAGTGAGCGCTCAGAGGGAGCAATGGAATTTTTTTCGAGGAGAATTTCGGCCCGCGAATCTGTTCAGGGTCCAGAAAGATAATTGAGGTGTCGAGAGTTTTCCCTCCGCCATCACGTTGAGCAATATATATAATTATTCATTTTTGGAGAAGCTCGCGAAGCGTCGCTTAATTCATTCGGATTTTTCTTTGTCTTCATGGAGCTTCCGCTGGAATCTTCAACAAAGGCCAGTGATCCGAAGGAGCTGCAGCTCCTTTGTGGATACTCGAGAGAAATTTTTCGTTCCGAGCGGAGCATCGCACAAAACATAGGCCCGGATCTCGGATGCAAGATACCGCGGCCGAAGTGTATTTTCAGCCGATGTCCATCGCTGTACGAGACTTTGACCCAATGCGAGATCAGTTCCAACGAATTGAAACGGGCCGTCCCTCGCATAATTTCTATAAGAGGAAGACGGCTCCACAAGACAGTGCGATTTCGCGCGGTTCACAATAATATCCAATCGAACATTCGCCGCTGACGCGGGCCCCACGACCTTTGACATTTCTTGCGCAGCGGGGGTGGTCACGTAAAACGGCAATGACCACGGCAACGGCTCTCCTGTGCGTTGCTGCATAAGATCAAATGTTTTCGTTTTCGTCCACCTCGGCGCGCCGACCGTCCGAGATACGATTCTCAAATAGACTCCGAGGAGAGTCCCTCTCCAAATAAACTGCGGTTACTAAAGTATCATAGATCATCAGAAGCCGACACGAAGGGGTTAAACAGCCCGACAGGTCGAGTGAATGAAGCGCGGCGGATGAAAGCGGAGCACCGAGAAAGACCGAACTCCGAATGTTCGGAGCCGGACCAGATGAAGAGTGAGTGCTGATCAATGTTGAAAGAAAGAGCATCATTGGTCGTATAAGGTGTTGTTTCTTTGGCATCTCATCCAAAGAGAGTCTCGTTACTTTCTTCGGAGCGTGAGGCCTTCTCCGTTCATGAAAAGAGAGGAATGACGATGGAGACTTTACGATCGCCATCTTCATGGTTATCTTCATCCACCGAGCTTGGATGGCACTCGAAGACTTCTACTGACTATCGGCGATTGAATCCTACGAGACCAGTGACCTCTCCAGAACAGCTCGAGCTTCAGGTGGGCGAGACCGGGGCTCATCTCGGAATGGAGTTCTTCGGCCCTTGTTCCCACCCCGCCACAAATCTCGTGGAGGAAATAACTTATGAGAAATCAGATTCATTCTTCGGAATGACTAAAAGGCACCGGACGGCGAGGATTTTCTGCAGATTAAGTGAAGATCGAGTGTCGTTCCTTCATAATATTATTCTCATTTGGATTTGCCCCGAATCTCGAAAAGGAGATGCACCGTCAGGACTCTCGCTCACAGCATATGGCGGAAGCCAGATGCAGATGCGTGAATTTGAGTTCGCAGATGACGAATATTCGTGAACAGATGCCGAAAGCTGATTTCTGACCGCAGAGTCGTCGCGCCGGTAGAATCCGTATTGGGACAAGTCTGTTATAATCGATGCTCACTGCGCCGCAATGGAGCGCTGGCATCGCCTGAGGACTCACTCAATGGGATTTGCAAAGAAAAAAAAGGCGGATCCTCGTGAAAGATTGGGTCGCCATAGAAAGCACTTTTAAGTCGGCTGTTGTTGCGTTTCAATGTATGTATGTATGTATCTGTGTATGTATGGTGTACAGCCCATTTTGTCGCACGGATCGGATCGGACGAACCGACGGACGGGGTTGTCGTTTCGCGAGCTGCTGGCTCTGACTAGCTCGCTCGCTTGCGTGGTTGCCTGCCTGCCTGCCCGGCCGACTGACTGCTAGAGAAGTCAGAAGAGAGCGAGTGTAGCTATAAATTATAGCCGAAGCGACATCTGACTGATGGCTCCGCGGAGAAAGACGACAGAGAGCGAGTAACGAGAGAACGAGAAACCAAAAGAACAGAGTGAGAAATGGCTCCAGCAGCCGCTGCTTCCCGCATACTCACATAATGTGATACTTTCACAGCGCACACAGAAGTCGCCGTCGACGCGGTGGAGGTAGATTCCGTTGTCATGCACAGTTATCTGTTATCTCCAAGGTCGGTCGTTCGTAACGATCTCGAAAGGAGGACTAGCGCAATATTGGTAGAAAAAATCGCAGGAAAACACCTTATGGACATCGGTGCGCGCTTGCGAAATCGTTCCACCAAGCCGCAACTTTCGGTTCGTTCTCGTTCTCCTTGCGGACCTGTTTACACGGACGTTGCCGGTCAGTGTAGATTGAGACGATCTTCCTCTACGACGAGCGGTCGGCGGTGACGAGTTTATGACCGCTCGGATGCGACTTGCTCCGCTCCGCATCGTTCGCTCAATATAAGTGAACGTAGAAGACCTGAATGCATGCACGCATACAGCACCTCGAGTTCACCTAGTTCTAGAGGCCATCGAATATCCAGAAGCATCGTCTGGACACGAACAGAGGGGCTCTCTCGACTCTGACGATGATATGCTTCAGCTGGAAATCCCGTGGATGGAAGAAGTGAGGAGGGACATCAGGACAACGAGCCGGATCTTCTCTGGGGTGTTCGTTGGCAGCAATCAAATCAAAAGCTGGGTTAACCTCAACAAATGACTGTTTAGAGCTCAAGAGATCGATTGCCAGTCGGAGTCGAGCAACGTTTAGTGTTTGCACGGCTGCCTGGCCGGGTAGGTTTAGGTAGCTACCTGACTGGCACAACCCAAGGCCGCTTCACCACAACAACGATTCGGTTAGCCGACAATCAGAGTTGGGGGTTTTTCCGGGTCGGATTCGTCGAAGGCCTAGATCTTAACAGCGCGCGAGTGAGCGTGCGTGGCTGGCTGGCTGACTAACTGGTCGGCGAGCGTCCGCCTCCACCACCGACTGCAGCCACACCATCGGGACCGCTAGCAAGTCATCGAGCGAGCTCCTCTCGGTGCGGGCACCTTTGAGTTGGCGGGCAGCAAACAAACAGTCGGACGACATAATGCTATGCTTTCGTGCCATAAGGACTACACGCAGAACACCCAAATTATGGATGAAGAAAACAATGAATAAATGCATGCGCGCGCGATACGCATACAGAGCGTGCTCCATAGGCCTCGCCGGGGCGCCTGGTCAGTAACAGTCAGCCCTCCAGCCAGTCATCCAGCGATCCAGGCGAGCTTGCCGGGTACATTAGTCGATCCCATAGCTCATTGCATGTCCGGTATCCTACCTAGTGGCAGTCGACTTGCCTGCCTGCAGGCAGGCAGCCGTACCGGCTTGGCTGACTGTTTCGGGGGGACTCGGGAAGCAGGCAGCAGCGGCAGCCAGTCTCGAAGATTTACAACTTCGCTCGAGCGACGCATGCAGACCCAGTCTCTGACGCTGCCGCGACTGCCGCCGATGCGGCTGCTACCCCAGAGCTGCTTCTAGTCTTCGTTCCTTGAGCATCGTAGGTGAGCTGAACTGAGCTCGCAGAGTTGCGCTCCCACCGTATACCATTGGACTCACTTAGTCGTCAGTGTTTGGTTTGGCCTCGTGCTGCTGCCGCCGTCGCCAATGTCGTTGGCTGCTGGATCAAACTACTGGCGAACTAGATGGACGATCAGCTCATGCGAGCGGCCGACAAACAGACCGACCGAACGAAGGTACGAAGACCAAAAACATCCTTCTTTCACGCATCCACCACCGGCTTCGTCGATCGTAGGATAAACTAACAGTGCAAGCGCTTCGTGGAAACCAACGATACGCTATTAGACACAGTTGGTGAACAGGATTCGCTACCGATGTTGATTGCTCACTTTCAACCGATCCTGCCTCCTCGCTCTGTGATTCGCGCTTCTTGCATTCCCATATAAGCATGTTATGCTTATTCCATAATGCCGTAGACTTTAGTCAAGATCATCCCCCGAATCAGTGATCGGATTCGAGGGATCCCGGCCGGCGGTTCCGCATTATTCGTTCAATCTCCACTGGAGCTACTCCTTATGGAGATATGATCATCGTCAGCAGGACGAAGATAATCACATCATTGTTTGGGCCTCGATTTTCTTCCGTTCCTTCATTTTGGAGAGGCTCAAAGGACGTCACGAAGTTTCAGAAATCAGTTACTTTGGACTCGGAGCGAAATTAATTACCTACCGCCGGCTTCTTCTTATTAACGTCTGCCTAAAGGTGAATCGCCGGCGAACTGGTTTTACCTGCCAAGTATTCGCTACTGGAGCACCGGACATCGGAATGGCCGAGCGTTTCCATAGCGAGTCTCGCGTTTCTCGTACCGATAGCGTTTACTCCGCTCGACATGGGCGACTCGAGCTGCTCAAGTCGAATGTTCGCGCATTCTCGTTCGGAATGTGCTTCTGCCGAGGTTCAGGAGCGAGTTCCTGGTCAATCCACGTCTATGACATTGCTTTAATGAATCCATGAAATCAATGGCTCACTTCCGGGAAACCTCTTGATCTCCCGCTTCGGAGTGTCAATTCTCCGAGCTAACGTAGTTGGGATCATTATAACCATATCGATAGCGGAACAATGTCGGGACAGTTATGATTGGTTGCAGACATCGAGCAGAATAGCCGAATCCGATTCGGAGGCGGTACATAATGTGGAACGCTTGAGTATACATGGGCTACATGTATTCAGCTGGGGAATCGAGAGGTGCTCTATGTGCTGAGACGACAGATGTCGGAGAAGGAGGCACCAAACCCTGGTCAAGTCTCAAGAACCGAGCCACAGCAAAAACATGCTCTACAAATATGCAGGGAGCAGAGAAAAAAAATCTAAATATATAGAGGTCCCGCCGTTCCTTCCGAAACTTCTTCTGGTCCGTCTGGATTCGCGTCCCCGAAAATACCCCCATATACGGATGCGGAGTGGAGACCTGCTCGGTTTCGATTCGAATTTCCAACGTATAAAAATTCGTCTGCGGAGCTTGTCTCGGCAGGGTGAATCCCGATGTTTTTCGATTAGCGATTACCGCTGATTTGATAATTACCTCATAAATTATGACCCCTCTGCTCGCTTTCCCGGGACAATGATTGGAAACACGCAGGCAACGGGAAGAAAATGAGCAACTCGAGAGTCTGCAGATGTTTTACCACACGCAATTGTACATGGGAAACGAGATGGCTGCCTACCCTCGTGGATATGAGCCTATTCTGAAATCATATGCAGGAGATGCGGCGCGCCCTGCAGCGGGGACAGAGGCGCTCGCAAATCGAAAACGACTGTTCTTTTGCCTGAACGACTTTTGCTGCGAGTGAGAAAAATGCGTCGAATGCAACGACGGCAATCAATCTCTATTATGGGAAAGTAACCGAATTAAAATCACATCTTGCCGAAGCGACACATGAGGTGGTGGTAGTGGCGGTGGCGGCGGATAGGGCCGCTACTTGCTTCACATTATAATGTTGTAAAACACGATTCAGCGTCGTAAACGGCCAAGCACCAGAGACCGCTGAGGCCACTCTGAGGTTATCGAATTTTATGCCGGAGGGAGGTGACGATTTTATGGCAAACGAGACGACAACGAGAGACGAAACACGCTCTTGACTTCATTCACGCCACTTCAACACCTGACACGGTCTTGTCGCCCATTCTACTGTCCACTCGCCTATCCGGAAATGTAGGCGGAGAAGGAGTTCCAAAGGAAACGTCTCTCCGATTTTTCTCCTGAACTCCTCGTCCATCGGAACTTCAGAACGCTCGGGAGGTAATCTTCTCTCGTGTTTTCAGACGAGCTGTACTTGCATTGACAAATATGCCTCCAGATCAGCGAATTATACGAAGGTGATATTTCCGAGTAACTCTTCTGGATCGTTCTCTACGGAATGCGCTCAGCTCTCCCAACCCATAGAGCGGATAGCTTCCTCCAAATAAATATTATGAAGGAGAGAAAAATCATCTGGCTCTCTCGGTTCGAGGACGGTTGCTCGCTCGCTCGCTCGCTCGCTCGGTGGGTGTGTTATGGCAAACGTACAAAGGAATCGATTCTGCGAGCTCTATTGCTCAGTGTCATTGCCCCGGCGCGGGGTAAACTCTATGTTTGAATTGCATTTCATAATCAGCTCGGCTTCCTTGGGGTGGTCTTCCGATGCGCGGGGAACGAACTGGTGGGTGGCTGCTTGCCATGCTCGACAGGCCGGATGGTTCGAGAAAAAGGGGAGTTGAGCTTCGCTTGGGAAACGCCGGCTTGCTAGGGAGACGGGACTGAATGATTCATCCCGGGAAGAGTGGGCTCTTGCTTTATGGCCGTTTTATCGTTGAGTTGAGCGAGAGGAGGGTAGACTAGGGCAGCCAGGCGGGCGGCAGGGCGGCCAGCCAGCCACCCCGCGATCCAACCCGCCAGCCAGCTAGCCAGTCGAGTACGGCGACCCTACGAGCAAAGAAAGTCACCCAAGCCAGCCGCAAGCCAGCGAAAGTCCAGAGGAGGTGTGTAGTGTTCAAGTGTTTATATATTTTATTTTACTACCAATTGCGCGGTTAGCGCGAGGGTTCTTGCTATAAAATCAACGGGGACAGAGAGCCGATTCATTTCGTGGTGGCTCTTCTAGTCCTTGCTATAAAACGTGGGAAAACCTCTTTGTCACACCTCATAACAATCTACATTGAACTGTTTTGTCTATCTGTATTGTTTTCAATGGATTTGACTAATCTTAAAACTGATTGAGCATTTGATGGGGAGATAGCGTAATATCAGTGCGTCTGGGGGGAAGTCTCCTGCAAACCATCCCTCTGAATGTTTCGTTCCAAATATGCCGCCTAAGAACGCGTCCCTTCCTCGATTCTGCTTCCGTCGGAACTTGCCTGATGATTCCCGATACCCAATATCTAGCCTGAGCGAATGGAACCGAATCGTCTATCGGATCGATCCGGGGACAGAGGTCTTCCGACGAGTATCTAGCCTTGAAGAGCGATTTGACGTGGACCCAACATGTCAGGGTCAGGCCCAACCTCAACGCGAGAGTGCAGTTTACGCGAGAGGAAGTCGAACCCCGGAATATACGTTCTAAGTGTGTTTATCGCAATACGATTTTTTTCCAGACAATGATTGAGGAATCTGAGAATCATGATACATGAATCCATCATCATAGACCAAACGAGACACCGAATGACCCGACCCAGACTCTTAGGCTAGGGGTCTCGTGACGTGACGCTTTGACCCTTGTCCCTGTCGATGTAGGACAGGGGTGGCCAAGTGGGGGTCCGCGGACCCCTGGGGGTCCGCAGCAAGATTTTCGGGGGTCCGCGACGGGGTGCCTGAGTCAGATTCGGAGTCAGATTCCCCAATGGAAAATATGATGATTAATCATGGACTGTCTGGGAGTGACTAAACGCTGCACGTTTCGCAGCGGGAATATCAAGTCTGCAGACATTGCTGACAAACACGTCGAGTTGAACGTCGAACCTCGCATTCGAAGCTTGCCAAAAAGTGCATTATGAGAAATAGGGGGTCCGCCGATTCCAGCTCACCCGGTCAGGGGGTCCCCCAGCTCACCCAAGTTGGCCACCCCTGATGTAGGACGTCCGAACATCCAGGATGTAAGCGTTTTGTAAATGACATCAGTTAGAATAAGCTCCACATCGAGAACGTCGATAAAATCAGGGTCCGCGGAATCGTCTCTCAATTGAACGGTGGTTCAACTGAAAGCCTTGTGAGGGTCATGCAACTCGGGCACGAATCACAATATCCGGATATGAGCTCGAACCCTCCAAGCGCAGAAATCTGTCATCCCGGCTTGATGGCAGACCTGATAGAAGGTCACGGAATGAACTCCCGAAAATAAAGAAGAACTCTCGGGCTATCGGACTTGACTTTTCATGTCTTTTTGCTCTCGGGATGTTTTTTTGCTATCCAAGAGCATTATGTCGTGTGATTCTGATCCGCGACATCTCGCGAACTCGCTGGATCGGTCCCATACAGGAATCTCGAATCCTTGAAGATTTAGAAGGTGGCCAAGTAGAGGAATTCTCTCGACCCGAATCCGATTTGCCGTTGATCAGAGTTCGCACAGATGTCAGATATTCGGGCGGTAAGTTGTTTTTGGATGTCTGATTCTAGAGGGAATGAATAGGTAGATCAGGAAGGAAAGAGAGCTGCATCAAGCGATCCGACCGATCTCGATTCAATTTGTAGCGAACAATTCTTCCCTCTGAACTGTCATCTACAACTTTCAGTGATTGCGAGTACGCAGGGTAGGGACTCAACACGGGTTTATCTGACGACGTTTCTGCGCAGATGTTTCGAAGTGAATGAGTTCCCGAAAAAGAGTTCGCGGGACTTCTGAAGGGGGAGATGCAGCGAAATAAACTCTCGAGTGGCATTGTGGGGATACATCCATGAAAAATCACGAAATGCCTTTTCTCCTTCGATCGGTCGAACACCGAGAGCTCGGAGGAACACGGAATTCCATGCACTAGAAGTATACGTCTCATATTGGCCTTCATCACAACGGGACGCACTCGTAGATTTCTTCCGCTCGCTGCAAAGCTCGTCGCGTCTCCCAGTGCGCATGACGCTCCCGAATTTGCGGTGAACAGCGTCGCGACAACAGCACAACTAACGGATATCCTCCGAGGAGCTGAGCATTTCTTAGCCGTTCACGATAATCTACAACGAGCTGACATGATACTGACCTATGTGAGAGTTCGGAGTCGGCAGTTCGGTGAACGTAGGGGGTCCGTTCGATTCGGCGTGTAAATCTCCGTAGGTAGTCGCGTAATAGCCGTTGTAGGCAAGCGAGGGTAGCTGAGTCGGTGTCGAGCCTGCCGGTGTTGGCGGCCATTCGGCGCCGGCCGAACTCACGTGTGCAGAAGTGGCAGGCCAATACGGCTCGGTGAATTCGTACGAGTAGTACGGAGGATGGTACATGATCACGTGTTCACGTTCCACGCGGAACGTTATCCAAGTCGGGGTTGACTACCAACGAACGAACTAGTCAACCAACTACAAGTCCCACGCATCCAACACGGAGAGACAGCAAGCGAGTAGAGGAGACGACACCGGCGACGGCAACGTGCTCAGCTGACTAGGACCTGCGCAGCGGAATGCGAAGCACGTTGCACTGCGGTGCCACTCTTGCCGGTTACACACATCACATCACCTCCAATAAGTGGACAGAGGCAATCACAACTCACAGGGAGATCTTTAATCACGGGGTAGCGTCGATGCGCGACAGACCAACAAGCCGACCGACTGCGTGACTGACTGACTGACGGAATGACTGACTGATTGTCGGCCTCCTCCTTAACGTGTTCGTCAAACTGCAGAGTGATCGGACGGACTAACTGTCCTTGTCTGTCTTTCTATTTGAGTGAGTGAGTGAGCGATGGAGGACTGGCTGACTGACGACGACTCGAAACTCATGTTCTCGTAGAGAGAGCAGAGCGCTCGTCGCTGCTGCCGCCGCTTGTGGATAGCCATGGTGGTGGCGGTGGCGGCGGCCGCCGCGGTGGGAGCGGCGGCATCACAGGCGCGCGAGGCGGAGCCCAAGAGCGACTGAGGCGGAGCTTCCCGCTGCCGCCGCTGATCTCGCTGGTTCCGCCGCCGCTAAACTGACTGCCAGACGAACATCCACCAAGCCCGCTCGCTTAGCTGCCGGCCTACCTGCCTGAGCAGAGTCCAAAGCACCAACAGGATCTTGTACCACTGCTGCTGCCGGCAGCAGCATCGGCAGCCGACGTCGGCAACAGCAGCAGCTACGGCAAACCGCCACAGGGTCCGCGAGAGCCACCGCGCCGAAGATGAAGAAACGGCCAACGTGTCTTCTGCCGCCTAGCTGACGGACGATCCGACGAGTGGACGGTTCTCGGTCCTTCGGTCGGTCGGTCGGTCGCTTGGTCTGTCGAGCCGTATGTCCGTCCAGCCGACCGTCCGCTCGTCTGAGCGTCGGTCGGTTCATCCGATCAGACGGCTCGGTCGAGCTTCTTCTTCATCTTGCTGCTGTTGTTGTTGTTTCTGATTTTGTTCCTTCCCTCGCTTCTGCCAACAGCCGAGGCAACAGCGACGATAAACGGTGTCCAAGTCGAAGAGCGATGCGGAGAAAACACTGAAGAAGGGCACTTCGATGCATCCAATACATTGTTCGATTATGGGACCCACGCTTCGACAGTCAGATACTTCTACTTTGTCTGGTTATTGTTCTCGATGGACGATGAGCGAGTTTGTCCACTGAATTTCAGACGCTCAGAGACCCGGCGCAGACGTAATTGGACTATGAAATTCAAGGCGTCCGAGACGTCGGTGTCTGTCCTGAGCATAGATTCGTAGATGATTCCAGGCGAAAAAAGTGACACGATACGAGCTTCGTCTCTACGTGACGACTGCGTGAGAATGGGGAGCATCGTTGGTTTGTCGGAGTTAGGCCCCGGCCGCCACAGCGAGGAAATCATCGAGTTAATTTTGTGGAAGGACCGAGAAGACCTCATTCGTCGCAGAAAGAGGAATCGATCAGCGCGGTCAATGTCTTGAGTCGCGAGGCAAGAGAGAGTCTATTCCTGAAGAAATTATAGTAATGTTGACGCATCGAGCACCCCTATCGGACGAGAATCATCGTCATAGGCGCAATTCAGGATCATTTATCTGCATTGGAACGTTTATTTCCATCCGGAACTTTTCCGATTGGGAGGGAACCGTTGTGCCATGGGGACTCCTACGTTTGGGTAACTTATTTGATGCTTCAGAGTTCAGAGCTCCACTCTGAGCTGACACTCTATGAGTGCACGGAAATGGAAGGGATCAATGCGTCATCTTCCGCGTGACGTTTCGCTGAAGAGTTCGTCCGCAGTCGAAGCGCTGCCATGGCAAGCTCGACAATCGAACAGGTACTTAGACAAGACAGCGCAAAGTCTCCCCACCGCGACAACTGTCCAGTGAATCGCTATGGGAAGATTGATGTCGACCGAGTTAAGATATACACCGAGATAGGAAAAGCGGTTTTGCGGGAAGAGTTTCTGTCGCCGAGTGCGTACCTACCACCTCGCCTCACTTCCGCAGTTCGTTGCCACTGCTTCAGATATCGGAAGCGTCTCTTTTCGTTTCCCTCTCAGCCGGCCATTATCTTCGGCCGCCGTGGCCGCGCAAAATAAACTCTCAACAATTAGACCTTCTCTCGGCACGGCCACACGTGTCGTTACTGACGTCGACAGTTTAAGTATCTTAATCCACGGCAAACGAAGTGTAGCTTCCATGCAATCCTAATCCTTACGGATGGAGGCTCCTCTCCGACATCTGAAGGCCCTCATCACCGAAGAGGCTTGCGCTCTTTTCCCCAAAAGCGTCCACGTCAGATGCTGAGAGCCACCGCGTATCGCTTCACTCCGCGGTGAGTTTCGGAAAGAAATTCAGCATTGTATCGGAAATATCAGAGAAGCGGCGGGGAACTTCAATTGTCTTCAATAAACCCATAGCTGATGGACTAGATGTGTCGAAGATGTCAAGTTGTGGCAACAGAGGAAAAGAACAGAAACTGAAAGAACGCGACTCGCTGATTTATTGAGACTTGTGTCGTAAACATGATAAATAGACTAATATCAATTTGTCTCGCTTCTTTTCCTTGCCGTCCGAGAAGAACGCACCGTGTTTGTCGAGAAGAACGTCGGAACGCGTAACAGAACCTCGATTCACTCTTAGCTTTGTTTCTTTTTTCCCGTCTCTTCCCCCATGTTTCTCTCATTCATTCAACAGACCCAGTGACCCGCATATGATGACGGTGCGGCGTGGATGATATTGACCCGACACGTGGTCCCTAGAAGAGATTATCGATCATCACGAGTCAGCTCGAGGAGTAAATCTCAATTTCACACTATGATGACTTCTGCTTCGTCTCATAGAGAATTATACAGAGTTTTGAATTCTGTCTCATGCAATCCGCGGAACCGGATCTGGGAAGGAGAAGGCAGGTCGAGGAAAGCTGGCTTCATGCAGTAAGTACTGAGCTCGGGCGCCCATTGACAGAAGGCACACTCATGGAATCGCCGTGAGCATGCTTAAACAAGTGTCTACGTCGAAATCGGAGTTCTGAGTTCGCAAGCCTTCAGATGGATCGAGAATCAGCGATTCGTTAATTCAGAACATGTGTAGATCATCCGGGAGATCTCTCGGTCGTCGGCGCCACGAGATTGCTGGGAATCCAGATATGAGCAAGAACAGCAACAGTTGTGTGAGAAAGTATTTCGATTCTAGCCCTACGAGCGTGCTGCTCGCGCAGAGCCGCGCACCCTTCCTTGTCCCTGGAATTACCCCGCCGCGAATGCCATGACAGTTCTAGAGGAGAGTGGAGGCTATGCTCGATCAAGGATGAGAAATCGATCCCGGAAGATCGACGGAGTGCCATCGACTAAGCAAAGACTCAGAGAGTTCCCAACAGCATTTCCTCGTCGTTCGTGGTGCCAGAAGCTAGAATCGCTCGCCGCGTCCGTGATTGTACGGCTGCAGGATCTCCGCAAGACTTCGCGTCAAAGTGACCCTTAAGATACCCGGCAGGGTCCCCGTCAAGGATCCTCTCAGGGAAGGTACGCTCGGCCTTCTCCGTCGGTCGCCTGTTGATAGCGAAAAACCGCTTCATGAAACCGCTCCATAACCGATGCTTATGCACATCATGACGGTAGGGCGGAGAGAGCCGTCCATGCTCATACCGATGCACGGGACAATCTCGCATGGAATCTGTAATGCGAAGCGCGGCGTCTATTGTTTCTCTTTGGATCTTGGAGGAGCCCCGATTAGATCCCGGAGAGTACGAGTATTCAATAATTTAGAACTCGCAGGGCAAATCGAAAGAGCATCGGTTCCTTGCCCATTACCCTTTGTTGTCCATCATCTCATCGGTGCTCCGATTAGGCTCCTAATGTTAAAATTCGATTTCATCCTCGAGCGGGGCGGGGCATTCTCTGGAATGGTCGTGAGAGGAATCCTCTTATTACACCTACTCCGAGGAATCGAGGATTTGATATGCGTTGAGCGTCTAAGTCCTGTTGATGGCATCCGAAACGAAAGCCGTTCGAGCGAGTCTCCAGTCCAATTAGGCAATAGGGTGTTTTTCTTTGGTTTGGGACCAGCTCCGATTGCGTAAACCGCGTCGTTTCTCTGTGCCCCGTAGTCCACAGGATCCGGTGGTCTCTCTTCTTTGGTTTTTCTTCTGTAGACAAACCGAGGGGTCACTCTTCTCGGAACGCTTCTTTTGAAGAGCTTCCTCCTCCTTCTAGTTGTTGTAGTTGGACTGGTCGATGCGATCGTGGAGGTGGCAGTGGCGGCCGGCGTTTGGCTCCTCTGTTCCGCTGTGGTTTCCTCCCGGTAATTGGATTTGAATGTGCTCGATCGACCGACTGCTGTTGCGTCCGTTTCTCCTCCCACGAGTTGGTTGACGTCTGTTTCAACGAGTGTACACTAGCTTGTAAAGCGTTAGCTGGGATTGTTCAAGCGCCAACGACAAGTGGTCCGCCGACCGCGGATCACCAATCACCAGTCAGACCAGAGACCACCGATCCGCATCGCATCCTGCATTGACATCAGCCCTTACCGTGAACAATGAATCAGAGAGCATCTCGCCGAGACTCGATTTTCGCTCCAGGTAGTCACGGGCTGAACGGTGACGGAGGATGGCATGCTAGTTGGACTTTTTGGAATCAGGGAGGCGTTCCTTCGCTCTAGAAGCGTCCGGCCCCCAGCACGAGCGGAAGCTCTTCGCTCCATGGGTTCCCCTGTTCTGGATCCCGGAGCCCGAAACTCGAGTTGAGAGGCGGCGAAGTCCCCGGCACCACTCCGATCAGAATCCTGGTTGGTCAGTAGTCGGAAAAACTGGAAAGCTCTGGTTCATCCGCTAGGTCGGACGGAGAATTCAGGGAACGGATCGAGCCGAATATGATATCGAATGAAGTTGAGATCCACTTTCAAGTTGTTTTGCCCGCTCAACACGGCCGCTCGGTTTGTTTACAACCCAATCGGCACAGGGATTGCAACACGCCATGCGAGAGAAGAGTTGCGGTCTCGCCGAGAGTGTCAGAAAGCATTCAGTATTGCAAGAGACGTAGATTGACTCGCGATTTACTGCCGCTCGGTACCGATATTCTCAGCTGGTGAGCTCGTCTGCCAGATCGCGCCGCCGCCGGTGATGAACAAGATCGACCTCTTGCCATAATCTTCA